CATAAATAAAAATATCTCGTTATAGCTTTCATAAACTTACAATCAGTAATAAACTTCTATACTCTTACTAAGTGAGAGAACAGCAAACTTAAGGGTCTTATTTACCAAACAAATAGGTCTTGAGAGAGTACAATAACGGAAAGGTATAAGTTCAGGGATAGCTGTGGTTTAATTCCTAACTATTAAAGTAGATGGATATTTCACTGTGGAATAAGCTAATCACTTATTAAGTAAATTATTACTTTAATAGTCGTGCTAAAGATGGAAATACACCAATCGTGTGTGTTGAATAGACTATCTTTATAATACAATGTATACTCGAATATAAATGTTGCTTAGGGAGCATTAGGGAAAATCATGGGTACAGAGTTCTAACTTATACCCCAGACACTAGCGGATCCAGGATTTAAATATGGGGGGAGGGGAGGGGCTCAGTCCGAAAGCTTTTTTTTTTACATAAAAATAACGATAATTACTTTGGAAAAATAGAAAGAAACTAGCTACCTATATGAAATGGTATTTAAGTGATTCCTTAAGTCATTTTAAATGAAATTATACGAACAATAATACATTAAGAGGTATTTTCAAAAATTGTTTTCCATAAAAGATGGTTATATTTTACCATTTTGGGGGGAGCTTCATGTTTATACATGTTTATAAGCCAATGCTAATTTACTATAATCCTCATTTTTTAAATTGTTTTTCCAATTACATTTCAATCAAACTAAATACTTTATTGAATACTGGCACAGTATAATTTATTTGAAACCATAAACTAAACTTCAGAATTATATAAGGCGATCACAATTCATGCGATGTGGTATCATTAGATGTGAAAGTTAATGGATGGTGATCTGTTTGCTAAAACGAAAACCTTTCTGTGAGCATTGATTTAAACGTTATGCACGATCTCATGCTTAAAACATACCTGCAACATTCAAACAAAGAGTAGTGGTTACAAGGTCATTCTAAGGGCCTAGTGAAGCTTTTCTAATGTTTTATTACATCATTTAATCATATTACCAATTAAAGCTGAAAATAATTATACAAATGAACATATTTTAAAAAACAGTAACACTACAGAAAGTATCAAAAAGTATTTTTAATAATAAATGTACCTTACCAACATCTGTATTAAAATATGAAAGAGCTAAACATTTTAATATATACAGTATATTTATATATTATAAATATCATATAACTGTATTCATAAATAATATTTAAATAAAAAAAACGTGTTCCCTCACTAACAACGTAGTAATTTCCGCTCAATTTTGAAAAACAAAATGAAAATAGTTTTGTAGTTGTTTATCTAAGGAAAGTGAATAGAATTTCAAAATCAAATGATCTACCTAATTTCTTTCAAATTTTGTTTTCTTACATTTTACAAATTAATTCCAAAAGCTTGGAAAAACCGAGATTCATTCAATTTTGTATGGTATAATTCACTCTAAAAAAACGCTCTTACATACCGAATTTATATATATGCATATATATTATATGATGAAGTTTTTAGTGACTGTAAATTTTTTAATTTTCCAATCTCAACAAATTAAAATGCTGGAATTCTCTCTATTATGTAAAAATGTTTTTGATGACCATGTAATGTCTTATTTTTCAATCTGAACAAATTAAAATGCTGGAATAAAGAATTGAACTTTTTTTTTCATGCTTACACTATATTGAAAAAAATCTAAATTACGATTACAAAATTCATGTAAATTATAGTTATACAATTTGAGCAACGAGAAGTAGAATTAAATGAATAGTTGTATAACATATATATACATATTAAATAAATTATACTGTGCCAGTATTCAATAAAGTATTTAGTTTGATTGAAATGTAATTGGAAAAAACGATTTAAAAAATGAGGATTATGGTAAATTAGTATTGGCTTATAAACATGTATCTGGGGTCACGGACGGATCTACGGGGAAAGAGGGGTGCTTTCGGGTTGAAGCTCCTCCCAAAATGGTAAAATATAACCATGTTTTACGGAAAAAACAATTTGAAAATACCTCTTAAAGTATTATAGTTCGTATAATTTCATTTAAAAGGACTTAAGGAATCACTTATACACCATTTCAAATATAGATAGTTAGTTTCTTTCTGTTTTTCCAAAGTAATTATCGTTATTTTTAAGTAAAAAAAAGCTTTCGGGCTGAAGCACCTCCCCTCCCCCTAAAATTAAATCCTGGATCCGCTAGTGTCTGGGGTATAAGTTAGAAATCTGTACCCATCATTTTATCTAATGCACCCTAAGCAACATTTATATTCGCAGATACATTGTATTATAAAGATAGTCTATTCAACACACACGATTGGTGTATATATATATATATATATATATTTAAAATAAAAGGGTTTGTGTCAATCAGTGTACTTACTGTATTTTTTGTTTATCAATAAATAAGGTCAAAATTCCCAGAAAGTTTTCATTCATTGATTCATAAAAAATGTGCTAATTGACTTTCTACAATAAACTGATGACTTAGTTCAGTCCAGAAAAACCGCTATGTGCATTAACGGTCCCAATCACAGGGTTGATTTCTTCACAGAAATCGTTGATTTCTGAACTATTCTTCAAATTTCCAACTTTAGGTCAAATAGAACGAGTCGTTTTCAAACTAGAGGCATGTCAAAAACAGTATATTTGTTGATTCGAAAGTGGAAGTATTAGAAACTTGTGGATGGAATTTGATACATACTTGATCGGCAATTTACCAATACCTAACTTCCCTTCAAATTTGAGCTGTTTGATAGATAAAGATGTATCAGGTAAAACACGTTTGCGTTTATGTAAAAGAGAGTAGAATACCGAATACAATAAAATTGATACTACATCACTTTTTTACCAATACCTACCTTTCGTTCAATTTTGAGTCAAACCGAACGTGCCTGAAACGTCTCTGAAATATTGACATGCCTAAGAAAATACGTTTGCGCGAGCCTAATCCACTCAAAATGGATGAAATTTAATAAAAGTGATATGAGACCATCAAGGTACCAATCCACACAATCGCTGAAAATAGCAAATAAACGTTAAAAAAAAAATTTGATTTTAGTTTGACAGACTAAAAATATATAGTGCATTTTATTGTCATACTTTATATTATTGTAATTGTAGTAAGTTTGTATTTATAATTAATACAAGTAATGCATCGCTCTAGATTTTTTGTTAATATATTTATATATTACATTGAAGAATATTATACCTTAATCGGTAACATATTCTTCTTGGCAAAAAATTAAAAATTGTGACCATTAGAGATAATAAAGATTTTAAGCTATATCTGTTTACATTTTAGTCTTTATCGAAGCATATACTTTGACGTATTTTTTTGGAACAATGAAAACTCGGGAGGAGGTCAAATCGAAAAGTAAACGTTCCGCTTTTTTTTTTTTTAACGAAAGTTGAGTTAAACGCTCACTTCCATTTCAGTCTTCTCCTTATTGGGAACCTGAGTGATGAGGGCTAATTTACAACGAAGTTGGTAAAAAGTAGATACAGCGCCATTAGGATGCAACCAGTGTGGTCAAAAATTATGTTGATTCTTGATTGCTTGCGTTCTAGAAATGAACTTTTCACTTCCTCCACTACCTACTTATCACTAAATATATTCTAATTAATAGATACGTTTTATTCGAGATTTGTTTTCTCCAAATTTATCAGTTTAGACAGCCTTGCATAAAAAACGGATGGTCCATTTTACATATGTGCTACATCTTAACATTCATTAAATCTTTGTATACTTCCTGCTATAAACTAAAATAAAGTATAATGCTATACTAAGGTAACATTATTCAGGGGGAGGGGGAACACCAACATAATGGATTGGTCCCTTGGCTTGTGGTAAATAGAAAATTATGCTAATTTAAGTATATTTTACATCTACAATGTCTGGGAATTTACTAGTTAAAAACATTTTTAAATTGAAACCTTTAGCACTATAATAAAAATTTGGTTAGTTCGAAGACATTTTCACATCACTGTGTATATATTACATTTCATATATTTGTTGATTTTTTTGAAAAAAAAATTTGTTTTGGCTCCCCTAATATGAAGTCGCTACACATTCATCAATAAGTCAACATTCAATATTTTATTTTATTTGAGTCTCAAAGCACAATAATTTTGAGACAAAATAGAAAGTAAAAAAGAGTTTAAAATTAACTATAATTAATCAATATGATTATCAATTTTTCCATTTCATTCATTACTGCATGTGGCTTCTAAGTTATCTTAAGAACTAAATATATGTTATCTGTTTCATTAAAGTCCTTTTTTTAATTTAATTTTTATTCCACTCTTCCTCGCCCTTTTGTAAGATTAGCATACTAAGTTCCTTCATCTTAATTAAGGACTTGCCCTTACTAAGGTCTACTCACAGTTCCCTGACAGTACAAGACAAATGGAAGAAGGAAAAATAACTAAATGATATATCCATTCTTCAAGGATAATTTTTGTTTTTTCGGACGTTTATTGGGCTCAATCATTCATTACTAAGAATACTTCATGGCTACTTGGTAAATATTAATTTCTAATGCGAGGAAATTAGTTTTTAAAAATTGTTTTCTATATATACATTGTAATAATAAACTTTTCTAAAAAAAAATTCTTTCTTGCCTCCTTCCCTTCTAATATGTAAGCTGTGTACACCCTTGAACAAGTGAACATCCAATAATGTTGGAGACTTTGGTATACAATCCTATGGGGTGGGGAGGGAGGGTAATCAGTGATACATTAGTTGGGAAAACTGAACTTTCATCATGTTGGGACTTAAGACATTCTTGTGAACAGCTGATCAGAGAACAGCATTTTTCAGGTAATATTATAAGAGGACAACAAACAAAACATACATATAGTCAATACTACACAAAAAGTAAGACAAGTTTCCCATTTTCCATAGTTAACTTTAAAAATGGGGAAGAAAAGTCAATGGTAGATCATAGGAATAAAGTCAGTCATTAATTTACAGGTTTAAATTGTAGACGGCTTCACTCTATGCTTTTATTGAGTGGCTATAATAAGAAAAAAATAAAATATTTCTTTATGCATATCAAATAAACATCTATTTGAAGATAAAACTGTTTATCACATTCATTGGTCTAGTGACCTAGCACTCATGTGATGTCATCAAACTGGCAAGAAAATAAACCAAGCACCTTATCAAGTTTGTAAAACTAGTGGGTGAATAACTTTTAAACTTAATTCTTTATGTGTTTTCTACACAAAAAATTACCTTTTTAGAGATAATACCTGATGAAGATAGAAGTCATAATTATTTAAAAAAAATTATAAGCAAACATGATAAAAAGTTAATGAACAGTTTCAGCACACATAAGTTAAATAATAACTGTAAATTTAAAGGATGCACTCTTTGATAAAATTTGAAATATATTTCTAAGTTATGACAACTTTAAGAAGAAATGTAGATAAAATTAACTGTTACATTTTATTTATAATGTACATATTTTACTGAAAATTTTTCTATTATTACATTGAAATATATATTTACAATGTCTTAATATTAAGGTGCATCTTCAGCCTTGAAAATAAATAAGTTATGTTTTTTGTACAAAATTTAATTTAATTCATTTAAAAAACTACAATTACGAAATACTATCACAGAAAAATAGAATGTAAGTTCTTGTCATATAAACTTAACTTTTCCATTTATAATAAATACTTCATAGACAAAATTCTAAGTTTACATTGCGATAAACAATTGAACCAAAACTTCACTGAGGTAAGAAACTACAGCAAAACAAGCTTATATTACATTGTAATAATAAATACAATAAAAAAAAAAAAGAATTGTAAGATTTAAAATAGCTGAATCAAAAAGAAAAAAAAAAAAACTATATGAATATTAGGAGTAGATTGATATTCCTATTTTCAAAATAACTTAATTATTAGGGGTAGATACACACCAAATACTGAAAAGATTTGATAATAGAAACAATAGGATTCAAAATGTAATAATAAGTTTACAAGTAAACCTAAGACTAAAAGTAATAGACTATTCTGAACAATCAGTCTACTGACTTCCTCTTTATTGTTCTTTGAAGGAAAAAGATGTTTGGTATACATGTCTCACAATAAAACAAAACTTCACAATGCATTAATTCACAAAATAATATAAGTAAATTTGTACAAGTAAAGTTAAATAAATACATAAATATACAATAACACCATGAATTTCCTCAACAAATCTGAACTGAAGAGACTGACTATTCTGGTAACTCCGTAAGTGCCTCTTTAACAATTAACCTGTTAACATTTAATTTTTTTTTCAATGATAAATAAACTGGAGATACAATTATGCAATGTATATTTGATTTTTTTTTCAAAAAAATAAATATTAATTTGTAGAACAGTAAATATAAATTATTAAAAATTGAGTCAGCTTTTTTAATCTATCTAGGCCTAAAATTACCTATATTAACTTCCATAAGATATTCTAAATTAAAATGTATTTTATTAAATTTTACAAATGAAAAATCTATGAGGCTGGTCTGAAAAGATTCCGACAGCAACGTAAAGATGGCAGCACTCATAAATAAAAGCAAGTGAATTTCATTGTTCATCTGTTGACAGTTAAACACCAAAGTTTTAGCCACTTTGGACGCGCAGAGGTTATGAACATGCCAAAAGAACGTGTTTGTTACATATTAAATCAACATTTAGATATGAGAAAACTGTCAACACGTTGGGTCCAGCGTTTGCTCACATTAGACCAAAAATATGTTTGAATGAACATTTCCAACGCTCGGTTAGCCCAATAAATCCGAGTTTTGGCACCAATTAATTACTTCAGATCAATCTTTGATACACTGTTTTGTCGGCTGGGAAAGTGATGGCGACTGTTTTTTGGAATAGTCATGGAATATCTTCAAAAAGGAAAAACAATTGCAGGAGCATACTATGCATCATTACTTGACAAACTGAAGGCAGAACTTGCAGAAAAATGGACACATTATCAGAAAAAAATAAATTCTGTTTCACCAAGACAACACACTGTCTTGCCATGGCGAAAATCCATAAATTACGGTTTCAACTGCTTGACCATCCGCCTTACTCACCAGATCTAGTCCCAAATGACTTCTTTTTGTTCTGTTATCTAAAAATTGAGCTCGGAGGACAGAGATTTTCATCAAATGAAGAGGCAATCATCTTCGTAAACAATTATTTTGCAGAGAAAAACGCCGAGTACTTTTTGGATGGGTTACAGAGATGAGAGCATCGCTGGGAGAAGTGTGTAGAGTTGCAAGGAGACTATGTTGACAAATAAAAAGAAAATGTCTAGTATTTTTGTTAGGTCAGAAACTTTTCAGACCACCCTCTTATATAAATTTGATAATAATGGTTACAGTCGTAGGTGAAAAAGCCATTATTTTTCTTATGAATCAAACATTAACAATTAAGTAAAATCATAAATTAAAAATTAGGAGAAAAAGTACTTACATATTGTTCAAATTCATGAATATAGTAGAAAATATTATTAGAAGGTAGAGCTTTAGGTTTAGCGCTTTGTAAGTATTGTAGGAATACATATTTCTGATAGTTTTCTAGTTCATGTTTTGGCCATAATAGATATAGCAAAACATAGTTTAAGAATTAACACAATAATATCAATATGATAAAATATTTTATGTCATAAAGTTTAAGTTACTAAAAGGTAATACAAAAATAACCAATAAAATAATTAAAGCTAATTACCGATTGTAAATAAAAAATAAACAAAATATGTATATAAACAATTACAAACTATCAGAGAAACATACTGATACTTACAATTTATATACAGAACTTTAATCTGATTTTTAGATTTTCAATTGGCCAAATACAAAATTTTACTGCAAATATGTACATAATTACAAATATTTATTAAGTATTTACATTGTTTTCTACTTGGGTTATGTGGCTGCATCAGATGGTTTATCCTGATCTTTATCACCATTATAAAACTCGTTTGGAGGTTCTACACGGCGATCTTCCTCTATTTGGGACACTCTTACATCTGGATCCAAATCATCCATCATAGCAGAATCATCAGAAGGAATCATATCCCCAGGTACATCTTGCATTTGAACACTTGGAGAATGCTGAATCATTTTTAAATTATCATAAACATGACGTGTGATGGCATCTAAATAATATTTTGTATTTGCATTCTCTTGCCTAGCTATCACTTCTGGATGCAATGTGAAATCAGGAAAAAAATATTCAAGGTATTCCGTGTATGGAAGTTCATTGCTAATTTCCTCTTCAACAAGAAGTGAAGTCTCATAAGTCCAACAACGAGCCACATTACGTAAAGTGTACCCACCACCACCAACGGCTAATAATGGAATGTTGAAGTCTCTGACAAACTTAACACACTCCCCATGCCCTTTCGTACTCAAACTAAATCGTCCAAGTCTATCATTGTCCAATGAGTCAGCACCACATTGCAGTACAATAGCTGTAGGTTGAAAAAATTCCATGACATACTGAATAACTGGTTTAAAGACCTGAAGGTAACTTGAATCGTCAATACCTTCTTTCAATGGAACATTAACAGAATAATATTTTCCACTATCAGCACCTATTTCATACATGTCACCAGTGCCAGGAAAGAAATAGCTGCCATATTTATGAAAAGAAACTGTCATGACCCGGTCAGTTAAATAGAAAGCTTCTTGAACACCATCACCATGATGTACATCAATATCAATATAGAGAACTCTTGCATAATATTTGAGAAGTTCAAGAATAGCTATAACAATATCATTAACATAACAAAATCCTGAAGCTTCGAATTTTTTTGCATGATGTAGACCACCAGACCAATTGATAGCTATATCACAACATTTGTGGTTCAATTTTGTAGCTCCTTCCAAAGAAGCACCAGTGTACATAGAACAAAAATCGAAAAGTCCTTCAAAGACAGGACAGTCATCTCCAACATTAAAATGAGTCAGGTACTTTGTAAAACCTTGGAGATTTTGGGGGGTTACTCTTTGCAAAAATTCAATGTATTCATCAGAATGAAATCTACACATATCATGAGCACTAGCCCTATAAGGTCTATAAATTTGCATTTTTTTATGAAGACCATAATTTAGTACTAAACTGTGTATCACAGACAGACGGTGAGGTTTCATAGGATGTCCTGACCCGTAATGAAAGTTTCCAACATCTGGGTTGTAGAAATAAAACACCTTTTTAGTCATTATTGAAATTAATTGAATGAAATCATAAAAACAATGAAGACTGATATCAATCTAATTCCACAGCCTCTTTAACCTAAAACAGAAGAAAACAAAGAATTAGCAATCATAAACCAATTCAATAAGCATAAAAAAATGCATATTAGTTAATTAAAAAAAAAAATTAAAAATATGTGTATTGAATACACTTCCAAACACAATAAAATTAATAACGGAGTTAACTCTAGATTGTGATATTTAAAAAAGTTTTGACCTAGGGATTTTTCATTAGCCATGGGTCGATCTTGGGGCAAACCCAGCCTTCATTAAGTGGGTACTCTTAATTAAATAATTAATTAAGGGGGAAAACCTGGCGGTTGAGCGTGATATTGGCCCGTCACCTCCCTGTACAACCATTGGCCTAGTAACAGTACTTCTTCACATTGTACTGAACCCATAACCCTTCATGGGTTGTTAGTAGTACAAGTTTGACCTAGGGATGAAGAAAATCAGCTTTAAACATTGTCCAAAAAATGATTGTTATTTTATTTGACTTATTCTCTTATGCCTCAATTACATACTGAAAGCTTCTATCCTGGCAATATTGTCACAGCGTCAATATCCCTATTAAGACACAGATTGTAAACCAGGTGTCAGTTGGGGAAATGGTGGATTCAGACCAATTGGTACGATCAGTATTTCAATAAAAGGAAAATTTATATACTTAAAAAATGAATCTAGCATTTTAATACCTAGATTAATAAAACTTAATCTAAACAAAAAAATAAAATAAATTATCAAACATTGGACAAAATCAATTTCAAGTTTAAAAATAATCAAAGCACTTACTAGACAAACGCTCTAAGCTCCCAGTCAATTACAAAAGACTCATATACATGACTACAATAAGACCTATTTGGACTTACGGAATTGAGCTCTGGGGCTCCACTAAGCCATCGAATTCCTCTCGCATCCAATCCTTACAGTACAAAATCCTTCGTAAAATCCTCACAGCTCCTTACTTTGTCACAAACAAAATCATCCATAACGACCTTAATGTTCCTTATGTTTCTGACCTGGCCCAATCCAGATACCTTTCCTTCCATAATAAACTTCAGAACCATCCTAACCCTCTCGTTTCTAACCTTGCTTCCTTTTCGATACCTGACAACCCTCCGAGGCGTCTGAAAATAAGATGGCCTCGAGATCTCCTTTTGTAAATACATTTTTAGAGTGCTACCAGTGGGTAGTTTCTCACCAAATGATTTCATGTTATTATATTCTATTGTACACATTTACTGAATGTATTTTTACTTGTAATACAGTTGTAAATATCATTAATAAATAAATAAAAAAATAAAAAAAAAATAATCAAGAGACAGTAATATATGAGAAAAATATTTTTCTCACATCAACAGTAAAGCTAATTACACTAGAAGTAGGAAAAGAAGCAGATGGTCTTAAAGAAGATCCCTCAATAGGAATATATCACAGTAGGTGATATTCTTTGAAAATTGTAAATAAAATAGTTAATCTGTATTCACTTTAACTTTTTCTTTCTCACTGTGAATATGATAGCTAAATGAAAACCATTAAGTGTAAAAAAGATAAGTTAAAACAAACAGACATAAGTGGAATGAAAAATAAAAATGTAGGAGCACACCTTTTCTTTTTGTGTCATTAAAGAAGTTGTTCCCAGGTGAGTAAACACCAATCGACTTAAATTGATACGGTACCCAAATTCCTTATTTTTGAATCATTCCTAAAGCTTTTGAATATTTAGCAACAGCTGTTTGATCAAATTCTAACGATTCCCCAAGTTCTTCCTGCATCTGACATGGATCTTCACTAAGTAATGCCTCCAAATCTTCATCTTCAAACTTTTTGGTTGTCATTTCCAAGATTAAAATAATTTTTGATAAGTGTTGAAACCATGCTCTGCATGTTCTTTCTGATAGAGAACGATTAACATTAGTTTCCACAAGAATTATATACCCTTCTGCTTGTTTTCTTCAGGCAAAACTAGTGTAATAAAATTTCCCACAAAAATGGTTTTGTTTTTCACCAAAACCATCTCCATGTTTGATGAGACATAAAAAATGGTGTATACACTTTGAAGATTTAAAATAGGCTGATTGCCCGAGTATAGAGAATTAGCTCTTGAATAAAGTTGGTTTTAATATTGTTAGATATATGTATGGAAACAAAAATTCTCTAAATAACAAATTGCAGAAACTTATTCATATCAAAAGCTTATCAACCCACTATATAAAGATTGGGAATTTGTCGATTCTTTCTAATACGGTGAAAAAACGTCTGCCAAGTAAGGTCAGTATAGCTTCCTCACCGTTTCCGTTGTATATTACAAGGTATACAATTTTTCGTATGAGAATAAAATCTCCGAGAGAAGCAGAATCGGAATAGCCGATTACAGTTACCCTTCAACATTCAACAAAAGAGGGTCGTATTTGAATATTCCATACTTGATTATGCTTAATAAAAAAAAAAATGCATACTGAACATGAATTTCAATACTGTTAGTTCAAAAGGTCTTATGTATAAATTTATTTATTGTTTTACAAGAGTGCATAAAAACTCAATATTTCTTTATGCTTTATTAGAATGATTTCATATTTTATTTTCATCTGCTATTTTCCATAGTAGCAGACTACTTATATCAGTTGCAGACTACAAAATATCACCTTTAATACACATAGAATTAAAGTTGAAAATTATTACATACGAACTTATGCTCTAATAATAGTATATACATTACCGAATCAAGATTTAATTTTGGAGGAGGGGCTTCAGCACGAAAGATTTATATATATATATATATATACATATATATATATATATATATATATATATATATATATATATATATATATATATATATACGATAATTAATTTGAAAAAAAACCACTGCAAATTATTTCTCTTTGGTATATTATTTTCAAACAATTATACATATAAAGTAACATTAAATTCCTAGTTATAAAGAAAAATAAATAAAAGGTGATTCTAATTATTGGACTAAAATTTTTTTTAATTAGTAATATGCTAAAAAAAAATAGCATTACTTCAGTAACACATTCAGAAATAAAAAAAAAGATAAACCTTTTGCAATAGCACATCTAAAAAAAAACTTGAGACCATATCTTTGCTCCTAATTGTCCGATTTTGACGATTTTTTTTTTTTTTTTGTTTTAGGAAATTCCATCAACTTCTAAAAAACCATATACAATATTAACATAAATGTGTATACTTCTTGAGTTATTCGGAATTTAATTTTACCATCCCTCGTAACTTTTTTTGAGCTTCCTTTCGTTGAAGTATGTAGTATAGATAAATTTAGAGGGTGTAGAGAAAATGACTTTAGCGAAGTTTCATCAAAATCGGTACATTCGTTTAGGCGCTACAGTCTATATAGCAACGCAGGTTTTTCGGCCGCCATTTTGAAACTAGAAGGCGAATAGTAATGTCGTTGAAGGAGGATGATCCTCGGGTGACCTCTGATTTTATATCCAAATTCGAAAAAAATCGGTCTATTAGTTTCAGAAAAAATGCGCGGACGGCGGACGGCGGACTAGTAGTGCACATATAAGAGAAAGTGTTGGACACAATTCAATGAAATTGGCACTAAATTATTTTTTCACTAAAGTCTACCTTTTATCTAACTTTGAGCCAAATCGAACGAGCCCTTTCTGAAATATTGGCATATCTAAAAATATACGTTTGCGCGTGCGTAAGCGGAAGTGCTGGATGGAATTTGATAAAATTGGTATGGGACCATCTAGGCACTAATCAGCATAATCCCTGAAAATTTCATGAAGATTGGATGAACCGTACTAGGTGATATGCCCGTCACATCGATTTGACTACAGACAGACAGACACCGAACCAAATTTGATCCTTGATGTCTGAAACGTAAAACGCGAGTGAAAATTTTCGATTCTGAGCAAAAATTTTTTTTTAATCTCTCGCACGAACACAATGCTTCCCTACCTTCGGTAGTGAGGAAGCAAAATATTTTAAAATCGCGATATCTCTACTATTAGTGCTTCGATTTCGCTGAAACTTTCTTCATTTTTTAGGAAATTTTAATACCTTTGAAACATCTTATCGCAATATTGACATAAATGTGTATACTTCTTGAGTTATTCGGAATTTAATTTTACCATCCCTCATAACTTTTTTTGAGCTTCTTTTCGTTGAAGTATGTAGTATAGATAAATTTAGAGGGCGTAGAGAAAATGACTTTAGCGAAGTTTCATCAAAATCGGTACATTCGTTTATGCGCTACAGTCTATATAGCAACGCAGGTTTTTCGGCCGCCATTTTGAAACTAGAAGGCGAATAGTAATGTCGTTGAAGGAGGATGATCCTCGGGTGACCTCTGATTTTATATCCAAATTCGAAAAAAATCGGTCTAATAGTTTCAGAAAACATGCGCGGACGGCGGACGGCGGACTAGTAGTGCACATATAAGAGAAAGTGTTGGACAAAATTCAATGAAATTGGTACTAAATTATTTTTTCACCAAAGTCAACTTTTTATCTAACTTGGAGCCAAATCGAACGAGCCCTTTCTGAAATATTGGCATATCTAAAAATATACGTTTGCGCGTGCGTAAGCGGAAGTGCTGGATGGAATTTGATAAAATTGATATGGGACCATCTAGGCACTAATCAGCATAATCCCTGAAAATTTCATGAAGATTGGATGAACGGTACTAGGTGATATGCCCGTCACATCGATTTGACTACAGACAGACAGACAGACACCGAACCATATTTGATCCTTGATGTCTGAAACGTAAAACGCGAGTGAAAATTTTCGCTTCTGAGCAAAAAATTTTTTTTAATCTCTCGCACGAACACAATGATTCCCTACCTTCGGTAGTGAGGAAGCAAAAAGTGTGACCACAGTTATCAATTACGAATTGTGGGCAACAACTTGCCAATTCCACTGTTATAACTTGTATGATATCTAAAAACCTTTAGTCATGGAATTTACTTCAAAATAGTTTTGAAAAAGAACTCTAGCAAAATGAAATACAAATACAAGTCTGTACTACCTATATTGCAAGTGTTGCTCCACTATGATGTGTGGGCATAAGATCACATGATCACATTAATGGGATTTCGAGAATGGAGAACAAACCATTTGGTAAGGTCCCAAACTGAACTCAAAAGCACTTGTTAGAAGGTTTGTTTATCCCTTTTGAGTGAATGCACTTTGAAAGTAATGCTGTAGTTAAAGCTAATAAAGGCCCAGATTTAAACTGAAAAAGCACACTTGTGATTCTGTACTCATGAACCTTAAATATTCAACGATTCTCTATATTATACTTATAGATTGGGTACAATTTCACAAGTGGTACAGATCACTTTGGTCACACTTGTTCATTGAATGGCAAAACTTCTTTTTTTTTTTTATCCTCACCTTCCTTGCCTTTAAGGCTACACGGGATTTTCCTGGACCAGGAAGTGTGAGCAGGGATTTAAAAGGCTTTCCTGGCAATGGGACACGAACTCGTGACTATTTTTTTTATCTACTTGTCTCATACATCAGGTTGCAGGTTGCCGGGCGGTGCTGTGCACACGCGTTAGCCCGTTCGGCCATCCCGCCCAAGGAAACTGAATGCCGAAAACTGTCGGATATTATATCTGTTATAAAATCAGCTCTAATCCACAAAAACTCATTGCATTTCTACTTATTTTTAAAAAACTCAGGAGTCCCCTCCATAAAACTTCCTGTGAATTGGAATCACAAAATCCTAAGATATAAATACTAAAAATTGGAAAGTTTTTCACTTAATTCCATTCACTCAGGCTCACAAAAAAATGATTCTTCAATTATTCAATTTTTCAGTTGAGTATTTTTTAAATTATTAATTTGTAAGTTGTACATTAATATGCTTCTAAATTTTTTTTGTTGCATTATTTAGTTGGTCCAGATTGATAAATTAAAATTTATTATCTTAATTCAATCACTATTACTTTTATTTATATAATTGTGTATACAAAATTGCTAATTATTTCTGAAAAAGGAACAAACTGAATGGGGATTACAACTCTGGAAGAAATATTTGAAAATATCATGATACTGAACGATAGAAAAAAAAAATTGTGAAATAGCAATCAATGATATAATAATTCAATGTTTTTACCTATTATTACTTTTTTTCACAGCTGATAAAACAGGTATAAGCTCCATTAGGAGCACATGATGTAACCTAAACATCATTTATAAGTCAGTTCATCCTGCATAACTGAATGTGAAAGAGGATATACAACTACTTAAATAGCAGGTAAACTTTTTGCAATCAACTCGAGAGATCGGTTGTCTGTATACTCTTATGGCTAAACCTGAGAACTTTCGACATTCCATGAGCAAGTGTAACAGAAGTGATTGTAAACCATGCCTTATTTATGAAGAGCACTTGGGGGACTAGTACCATATTGTGATTATGAGATCTTGAGTCACAACATTGAAGTGGAATGAGACTTGTAAAGTAGTACCCATAGTTTCATTTGAAGTGATCAGTGGCCGCTTTAAAGCAACAATAAACTTTTTTCTAATATAATTCTACAGCTGGAGAAGGCCTTAGCCTCCTCACTCAGTTAAGACCATGCCATGCAGTATTAAATACCTATTCCCAACATTTTATTTATACTTCACAAGAAAATGGTTGTAATGCTCCGTGAGGAGATTCCGAATTTGTCACATTTAGAAGTGCAATCATATAAATTTTCAAAATCCACATCAATAGTTGAAAATCAAAATAAAAAACATTGAAGTATATAAATAATATTATTCCTACTGTTTTCATAAATTAGATTGAATAATTCATAAATAAAACTTATAATTCAATTAATAAGTTATGTTTAATGTAAATAAACAATTTATAACTTAAAAACTACATGGCAATTAGGTATTTATAAATGCTTTCTAAAAATTATGATCATTAGTAGTTAATTACATCAACCATGAGTAGTAAACGTATTTAAAAGCAACAACATAGTAAAATTAGAAACAAAACCTCAAAAATAGTTAATTTATTGGATTTGTATGTTACAGCTTAAGAGAATAACACATGCAAAAATAATAAAAAAATACAAAATTACAATTTATAATAAGTTCCACACCTTGATCAATTCAAAAATTAATAAACTGTAGGTAAACATGTAGAATATTGTAAACAAAACTACTACAGTTCACTCAAACAGGTTAGTTCTGCCCTCATGATGACCTCAAAGGTGATATATTTTTGACAATGATCACTGCATAATTCCCCAATCAAATTACTTAAATAAATGTTTTTGTTTCCTAAGTACTAAGTGATTTTTATTTATCAAAATTTAAGGTAACTTCACCCAGTTACATATATCATTTAGTATAGGAATTCATTCTCTATGCTGACGTCATTTCCAGGCGTGGTGAAAGAAAATGGATCCCGAGTTATGGTACTCAAAATAGTTATGGTGAATACTGTTGCGAACAGGTGTGTGATCAATTAACTAAGATGTGTCACCATGAAATTGGGATTATTTGAAGTAGTTACAAATAAGTGTATTGATTATATGATAATTATCCGTTAGGTTGTCATTTCCCGTTAGGTTTGTAGGTGTTAATACGTAGAAAACAATTTCTAAGTAGGACTGTGACTTACATTCTTTAAATGAAAAGTAAGTGTAATGGTCTTTGTATTTTTTAGTTTATTTACATATGTTGCGTATGTATTTTTAATTATTGCTGTCATTCCAATTATTTATTTATTTGTGATGGTTAGTCCTATTTGTTTTATGAAGTTATACTGTAAGAGCTAATAAAAAACTTATCTGCACACTTCAAATTTAAAGATAAAAATTAGATGCTTTCTTTTAATCAAACATTTACTTTTATAGTTCTCAACTTTTTGCGTAATGTAAACAATGTTTCTAATATGTTTTGATATTACGATTTACTGTGGTGTTCAAAATATTAATTTACTTTTGAATTTTTTAGGATAACTGGGAAGTAGTGCAGATGCCTCAATGCTCAGATAATCACACCGAACATCATCTCTTGCAGTTTAGTGTTACAATTTGTGCCAGTGTCGACAATACAGTGTAAACATGTGACATTTCAGCCTTTAATCATGAATGCTAAAGTTAGAAAGCGGTATAAAGGATATTGGTTTTAAAAGCCTTGTGCTTGCATTAATGCTAAACGTTTGAATCATTTATAACAAAATGTCTTTCTTGAGTAATCTTAAGAAAGTCCTTCACCTTGGTGGAAATGAATCAAAAAAGAAAAAGGTCTTCAACAACATTCGCATGGAATGTGACCCAGAGGAGTTCTGGGACATCATTGGTGAACTTGGAGATGGTGCATTTGGTAAAGTTTATAAAGTAAGTAACCTTACATTATTTTGTCATGAACCATAATCCTATTTGAACTTATCTCCTGTGTTATTCCTAACCCAAATAATTATTTCATTAATAAGGATAGAGCTAGATTCAAATTTTTCATTAAATTTGATGAAAAGATCATACAAATTAATGTTTTTCCTAAATCAAGACCTTGACCTCCATATTACTGTTTCTCCACTTAAATACTTGTACTCCAGCCTATAAGTGTTATACACCATTAAAAATGACCCCTTTCTTTATTCAATTAATGTTTTCTTTGTATAAAGAAGTAGCTTATTTGTCTAGCTATAAAAAACAAAATAAAATTATCTCTTATTACTAAGTTACGTTAAAAGTGAATAAGGAATTATTTAAATCTAAGCATAAGTTTGATTCATTGAATCCTTTTTTTTTTTTTTTTAAAGGAGAAGGGATGTAGAGATTTTGTATCTCATATGATAAGTCTATTTAATATGATTAGTGTTTGTCCCTATCAAAAATTATGTTAAACTAATGTCTTGGGCTATTTTCATTGTTTAGTACTAGATAATCATTAAAGTCTGTTGGTTATAAAATGTCTTGGTTACCTTGTATTATCTATATTAATTTTGTCTTTATATTATCACTTCCTAATTTGATGAAGCAAGTTTTTTTTGTATTTACTTCTAATTGTGTAATCTATTTTCTGTAGGCACAGTCTAAAGAAACACATGCTTTGGCAGCTGCTAAAATGTGTCTTCTTGAAGGTGAGGATGATTTATCTGATTTTATGATTGAAATAGATATACTTTCAGAATGTAAACATGAAAACATTGTACAGTTGTATGAAGCCTTCTTTACCAATAGTAAATTATGGGTAAGAACAGTGTTCAATTAATTTTTTGGTTGGTTTTATGTAATTTTTATTGATGTATTGACTAATATATATTCAGATGCTGATTGAATATTGCGACGGAGGTGCTGTTGATTCTATTATGGTTGAGTTAGAAAAACCACTTACTGAACTTCAAATTCAATATGTTTGTCAGCACATGTGCCGTGGACTCCAATTTTTGCATAAAAGTAAGGTTATTCATAGAGACTTGAAAGCGGGAAATGTTTTATTAACTATGGCTGGAGGAGTTAAGTTAGGTAAGATATCAATTGAAATTACTAACATACTTTTTAAGCTTTACTTCTCTATAATATTATTCCTAAAGCTTTATGGATTATCATTTTTATGTTCTATCAAATGAACAATTCCATTGTCCTTAAATTATATTGAACTTAAAAGAACATTAATCATAGCAATGATAATAGAAATGATGTCAGATGTAGATGACATCAGTGAGTTATGATGAATTACTTCTTCAATTTAAAGTGTCAATTTTGAATTAAAAATTTGTTTACACTTCTGAATATCAAGTTCTTTAAGCTAAAAGTTAAAAGCAAATCATTTCAACAATATTTTTTATCATTATTAAATTTTATTTTTTTGAATGTTAGGTATTCTCTTTGACTATGTTGTGGATGGTATATTTATTCTTTAATTGCTTCTATTTCATCTTGATTATATGAATATCAAAAGGATTCATGATTGAATTCTGAACTTTTTATAAATTTTATACCAAGTTAAGCCTACTAACTGATGCTCTTAGCTTTCATATTTTGAAAGTTTTGTTGCTATTGATCTAGCCACTTTTTCCATTCTTTATTCCCATTTGCTATGTCAATGAAGTTCTTTCATATTATTAATATTTTTATATATATTTAGTTTGTTATTTTTTATAAATATTTCAAGTTTTTTTGAATCTGTATTTATTCCCCAAGCATGATATTGTTCTAACTCCATATTTAGGCCAGTTATCATAAAAATTATGTGCTCGGGTTCTTATGAAATATTGATTTAATTTACTAAATATAAGTTTTTGTTCTTTTTGAGAATATAGGTTACAGGTGTTGTTTCGTAATTACCAGTTTTCTTTTTAACTTACAGCTGATTTTGGTGTTTCGGCTAAAAACAAGACAACATTACAGAAGCATGATACCTTCATTGGTACACCTTATTGGATGGCTCCAGAAGTAGTGCTTTGTGAAACATTTCGTGATAATCCATATGATTTTAAGGTATCGTAATGTTTACTTATCAATATCGGAAATAGTTTATCCTAGTTTTTATTTCAAATTATAGTTAAGAAATATTGTTTATAACTTTTTTTAACTTAAGACTTTGTTTCAAGTTCTCCAATTAAGTGGACTCGTATCAAAGACTGATATCTGTCATTTACAGAAAGTGGAGAAAAAGCCAATTTTTATTTAATGGGTTCTACTCAAACTGTTTCTGATGATTTAATTTAAGAATTTAAAAGTTGAATCATGAAAAAAAAAAATCTTTAGAACTGGTTTAAATTGAAGCTTTATGTATGAAAATAAGCCTTTTCTCAACTTTTACAAATTGACAGATATGCTTCTTTGCCACTCAATTATTACCTGATAGTTGTGCAGGAAATATTGTTCAACTTAGCGCTGGAGAAGGTGATAAGAACAATATTGTCTGGGGTGCATGTCGGAATGAATCATAAAATCCTTGTGCAGATGATATATCAATCCTTAGAAACAATCATGAGGACATTAAGAGACTTGCCAAAACTCAGAGAGGCCTACAAGTAAATTAAGATAAAACAAAATATATGATAATAAACTATCAATCTTACCCCAATAAGAGAGTCTGAATAGAATGAAAATTATTCCTGAGTGTAGACCTATTCAAATAGTTTGGCTCCAAAATAACCTAAATGGCAAATGGTCAGAAATAGACCAGAGTATAAAAAGTACAAACAGAGCTTTCTTCTCTCTTTCAAATGTATTGAAATCAAGAAATCCCAAATTAAGGATGTACGCTGCCATGATTAAGCCAGTTCTCATATACGGCTTTGAGACTTGTACTCTAATCAGCACCCTAAAAAGATTTGAGAGGAAATCTTCTGCACAATAATCGAAGAAATCTAGGATCAGAATTCTAAAACATGGAGGAGAAAAATAATAAGCTGCTTACAGAAAGTGGTCAATCAAGATCACATGATATATAGGCAAGGAGATTAAAATGGGTAGGACGACATGTAACTCAAAGTAATCCATCTGGAAGTCTCTACACAATAATGAATGCCTCAATAGAAGGCAAAATATCACTTGGAAGGCCAGAAACTAGATGGATAGATATAATCCACAAAGATGCAATAGAGCTGCTTGCAGATATTTGGGAAGGAATTGCCCAAGATAAGCACATATGGAGAAGGCTGATTACATCTACAAGGTCTATAATGCCAACAGGAAAAAAGAAATGGGGAGAAGGGCAAAAAATATGGTTATAATAAACTTTAACAACTTTATTTCTGTTTAATAAATTGGAACCCGAAAATAGATTTAAATGTTAACTGTCTTTATTTAAACATAAATTAATTTCAACAAGTTATGTGATGCACACATCAAGGGAAAATGTATAAAACACAGGCCTCTTGGGAGAACTTTTAGCAGCCAAAAACATCTCGATTTTTTTTTTCTTATTTTTCACTTATGACTTCTGAGCAGCAATGTATATTGATAAATAACATGGCAAAAAAAAAAAAAAAAAATTAATCACGGGTGAATACAAAACATTAAGAAGTGATGAATCCCAATTAAGGAATTATTGATCTAATTTAAAGGATGATTCATATCTTTAAATTGTTGGGGTTGATTTTTGACCCTGGCTCCAGGGCTGGCTATTAAAGATAGTTTATTAACTTTAAAGCCTTCTTAAAATGCTTTTAACTAAGAGTGGAGTTGGTAATAGTCGATTAAGTAATGGTGATAACATCGTTTTAGGTTGATATATGGTCCCTTGGGATCACTTTAATAGAACTTGCTCAAATGGAACCTCCTAATCACGAGATGTCTCCAATGCGAGTGCTTCTTAAAATTCAGAAATCGGATCCGCCCAAACTTGATCAGCCTTCGAAGTGGTCAAAAAATTTCAATGATTTTATTGCCAAAGCACTCGTTAAAGACCCGACTCAGAGGCCTAATGCTGATGATCTATTACAGGTATGTAAACATTTTATAGCATGCCAATTAAACATTTCTTACCTAAATAATTTTTATAAAATATTGTTTTATTCTTTGCTTATGATTTCAGTTACCTTTTATTAGTGAAGAGTTAGACTCAAAACCAATAAGAGACTTACTTTTGGAATATAAGGCTGAAGTAGTAGAAGAGGAAGTTGTTGATGATGAAACTGATGTAAGTTTTTTTATTATTGTTTAATGATTGTGACCTCTTAAGATCCTTTGGTGTATATCAAAAATTATTGTATATTGATGCCTACCAATCAATACTGTTGAGATAATATATTCATCAAACTGAATGATGATAATGCATGTGTAGTTCCCATTGTCTATTGGAAACATAAGTAATGTTATCCTTAATTTCATTACCTTAGTTATTTGTCCCACCTGATGTTAGCTAACAAAATGTTGTTGATGACATGATTTATTTTAAGTTTATTCCCTTCTTAAAGTTATTGTTTATTAACTGATAATTATTATGTAATTTAGTAGTAATCAGTGCATACGTATATAACTTTAAATATTGGTATTGATTTTTAAAATGTTCTATTGTATATAATTTTCTTTTACTAACCAACTTCGACACATTTCTTCTTTCTTTTTTTCTTTGCTGAAAGCACACACTCTTGCTTGTTTACATGCTTTCCGCTAACTTTCTAAAGAGGGGGAGGAAACAGAAAAAGAACAGGGAACAGTATCAGAGGGTTGGTAAGTAAAATATTGAAAAATGACATGGTTTCTGCCCTCCTCTGTAAGGCTTCACCAAAAAATTATAAATATGAAATAAAATAATAATAATGACAGTCCCATTTTGCTTTTAATGTTTTTGCTCAATTAAATTATTGTTTTCAAATGATTTATTCCTATAATTTTATTTTCAGATTTTTTAAAAAATATTTTATTTTAGTTTTTAAAGTTGTTTTTTATTTACAATAGTATGTCTGGTTGTGCACAAATAGTTTGTCAGTAACACATTGTTATAATTTTTGTTTATCTAGTCTTCTAATTGGCACTCATCTTTGTTGATGGTTTCTCATACTGCAGTGTCTTATATTTTACCAAACAAAAATTTGTCTATTTCACCTGATTTTATTTATTTAATTTTTTAAGAAAAAAGATTCCAGAATAAAAATTATAATAATAAAATATTCTGCTAAGTAGCTCAATATAATTCCCTTATTGTTAGATGTAATTGGTATGTAATAGCCGGACCATTCGTTCGCTAGTTTCCAACTTTTGGTTAAATTAAACGAGATACTTTTGAAATAAGTAAATATATGCTTAAGGGAAAATGGTAAAATGAATTTGATTCCATTTACAATGAACCATTTTTACACTAATTCACTTTTTGTCTGAAAGCGAAAAATTTTGGGCAATTATCAGACCACTTGTTTTACATGAAATATATTTGAATATGTATAAGCAAAAGCAATTTATGGAATTTGATAAGATTTATTGGTACCTAGAAGATTCGATATAAACACAATCCCTTCAATTTTCTTTAAGATCAGACAAAGGATATTGGTTACCTATACTTATTACATAAATTTGACCAGACTGAGAGACGAATAGACACAAACCCATTTTGAAATTAAAATTTATAAATAATTTTATATATACAATATTCCATTAAACATAATAGACTAAAATATTTGTACAAATTGCTTTGCTCGGGCCTATTTCTAAAAGCTGGCTGGAAAGGTAACATTTAAAATAAAGCCTTGATCATGGGATTTTCTAAATTATTGAGAAATATAAAATGTACAAACAAAAAAATGCCTTTAAGAAATGATAAAGTATATATCAGCCAGAAAAATAGTAGTAAATGCAGTACCTTTAAAGAGGAAGAAATTATTAAGTATACCAAAACAAACTGTATTTTTGTTAATAATTGTCAAATTTTTACAATTTTTTTGTAGGTAATTTAGTAATCTTTCTAATTATCATGGGTATAATCAAGAAAAAAATCTATAATTTTTTAGTCATTCGCAAGTAAAGTTTCTGTTCCTTCATAACTTTTTTTCCTTAAATTTTGGGGGTATGTGACTATTTTTCCCACCTGAAGGTGAAGGCGATCTTTAAAATGAGGGCTCAATCATTGGATTTAATGAAGAATTGACGAAGTTATGGTGTGGCAACAAAAAAATACCTTTTAAAAACAATATATGAGATAGAATTAGGGGAATTGCTTTTATATAATATAGATTAATAAGTTCCACACCTTCAGAGTTCAATTGTCTCCCAAAAGAAATGAACCTTCCAATTTATTATGCTTACTTTAATATTGCTTACTGGTTAAATCAATTCTTTTCTCCTCTTATTCTTATTCTTTGATAAATAAGTAATAAATTGGCTCGATATTTTGCATTATTGTCATTGATATATTGCTATGCAGTTCAGTGCAAAAATTGCATTGAGTCATAAAAAAAAATACATTGAAGAGAAGTTGCTTGGGATTTTTAGTCAATGAAAGTGCAAAGTAAAAATAATTAAATTTTATATATTATAATTCATTTATTTTTACTTTTTTTTCATTGACTGAAACTTCTCTTCGATATATCTTCTACAGTCAACAATCCACTATCATGAAAAAAAATTAAATAGTTAAAATATATAGCTCAATTCATTTGTAGTATGATATACAAGAACCTAAACTATATATTTACAGTACATTATATAAAAATATTGCCAAAGTTTTTTAAATATGGCTGATTATCATCACTTTTTTTTTTTAATGGGTTTTATTATAATAGCCATTGCCATATTCTGGCTGCTAATCTTGGTTAAATAATTGATGTGCCTATTAGATGGTTAAAGTTAATTTTATTTATTATTTTTCTACTTATTATATTTTCTACAATCATGATTTATATTATGTGTTCTGATGATTGCTTTGTACATTTGCATGCACGGACCTTGAACTTAAGTCTCCTACTCCCATGCATGTTGCGAAGGTAACAAATATTTGCACGTATGTCCAGTCTAAAATATTTTTATGTGCTATTTATTTATTATTCCAATTAGAGAATGAATTCCTATTCATATGATAATTCATTGATATTCTAAGTTTCATTAATTTACATTTTTATTGATCAGAATAGTGAAGAATTAGTTTAAAAATCATGATCAATTTCTGTTATAGATTTTCTACTTATCTCAATGTCTATCATTAATTTTTATAACTTGTAAATTCCAGGAGCACCGCACGTCTCAACTACCTCTGGAACTGGAAACTGGAGAAGATGATTCTACATCACTCAAATCAGACACTGACCTTAAAAGTAATATTTTATTCTTTTATAATATTCTTAGCTCAATATTCAGTTATATAACCTTTCTTTTATTTGTCTTAGTTGAAGAAGAAGTTGAACCAGTGAAGCAAGATTTGGAACCTGAAATTATAGATAAGAAACAAAACACAGAAATAGATAAAAAGCAGATACCAATGCCACCAATTCAGGTATAGTCATTTAAATCTCTTAAATAGTTATATTATAGTGAAAACATTCAAGAGCAAGTATATTATAAAAAAAATGTAAGGTAATACATTCAAAATTATAAGTGATTATTACTATAATTTGTCGTAATTAAGAAAAAAGAAATTCTATTGTAATTGTATGTTTGGTCATACCCTACTAGTACTCTGGAGACGATGGAGGTTTGTTCCAATGGAGACAATTTCATCAGTGAGGATTAATTGTTGGTAGGAATTACTAGTCAATTAGGGCTGCATTAAATAATTTTCAAAGTGATGTAGATAGGCAGCACAACTGAAAAAATATTTCTCTTATCATTTGAATCTGATATGCTACAAGACTAGGACTAGTTGTGTACCCTTTACAAGCAAGGAGATTATAGTCATCAAAACATATCCCGGTTTAATGGGTCTATATTCAATAATTTTAGAAACAAGAATAAGAATAATTGTTTATTGCTAGAGCCATATGTATTCAGATACTCAAGGTCCACATTAGGACTACCTTCACTTTGAGCCAGGTTATTGAAAAGTCTATTGACAAAGGGAAATAAGTAGCTCTTTATATGCTTAGTGAATCAAATGAATGAAAGATCTGTAAAAGAACCAGAAAGAAGAACATAGCACAAGCTCTTCTGAAACGCAATTAGATATGGTTTGGCACTATTCAGGGTATGAGAAGGGCCCTATCATTTGGACATTCAAAGAGCTTAAGACCACGCAAGGAATAGATTTGGGATGCAATTGAAGTCCCCGTATATTTTTATTTATCCAAGATTGGGCTATGAGTAAAGATAAATCTAGATTGGGGCACTTTCAACTCTTACATAAGAACTTTTAGTCTACTCTTTACAAAATGCTTTGCTGATATACCACTTATCTGATCAGGAAATTCCAACATAGAAACTTTGTTGTTAAAGTTTACTCTTTAACAATTTATTTTCTTATTTAAATTGTGTTGCCTTAGCATTTTTCTTTTCTATTTTTCCGAGTAGTATCTTCTCCATTTGTTGTTAAAAATATATGGAATTTAAAAAGATTAATCACTAGTAATTAGTGACATACCGAGAATTTTACTTGAAAAAAAAAAATACAATCACAAACCTGATGTTATTTTTTATAGCCTTTGATCAAAAATTAGTTTAAATTTACAAATACATATTTTTATATGTAAATTATGTATATACGGGTAAATAATGGAATTCAATATAATGAAATTCCTACATTTAAAAAAAATCTGCAGTCTCATATTTGCTGAGCTTCATAAAATATATTTACAAAGAAATAAAGAGCAAATTCATGAAATCGAAATTCACGCGATGTTTTTGGAAAACAAACCTGGCAAATGTTAAGTTATTTAGTCTAGGAGATATGCTATTGGGATGTCCGGAAAATAATGCAGGATTTTAAGTTTTCTTTAAAATACCCTTCTATATAACAAACTGTTTAGATTTACTAAATTATTCATTTGTATAAATGTCACCACTTATTAATCCTCTTCCAAACGATAATGTTTGTTTACCTCAGTAGCATTTCACTGCTTAGAAACAATTCAGTCTTTACTAAGATCTCAACTTGTGACGTCACAAAAACTGTTGTGAAAATGAAACTCTACCACATCCGCTCTACTATCTGGACCTTTCACCTACTGGCTATCGACGCCTTACGTGACAAAAAATTTAATAGACAAAGTGAATTAGAAAATGTGTTTTTGGAGTTTTATCAATTTTAAAGACAGGATATTCTATTCGCAGATAATGGAAAAGTTGCCAACACGTTTGCAGAAATGTATTGATAGTAGTGGAGACTATTTTGAGTAAATAAAACAGTTGTAAATCTTGCTTTCTTTTCTTTTTCTTTTTAAACCAAAAGCCTGCATTATTTTTTGGACAATCCAATATACTGGTCCATCTAAACTTCATCCTTCAAAATCACTTAAAATTACATGATAACTAAATAACAGCAGTACTTAAATGGAATCTAGAACAGAGGACAGTTTAATTTTTTTTTTTTTTTAATATTTAATTTTAATGAAATTTATAACTGTATTACATAGAAAATACAATAAGTAAATGTGACATTGGTAACATGACATGTACAGCATGAAGGGAAACTACCCATTGGTAGAACTCAAATTAAAGTTCTATATTAGAAGGTCCCTAGACCATCTTTTTTTCAGACGCCTCAGAGGGTTCTCAGGGATCGAGGAGGAAACAAGGTTTGAAACGAGAGGATTCGGATGGTTCTGCAGTTTGTTATGGAAGGATAGGTATCTGGATTGGGCCAAATCGGAAACATATGGAACATTAAGGTCTTTATGGATGATTTTATTTGTGAAAAGTAAGGAGCGTTGAGGATTTTATGAAGGATTTTGGATCGTAAGGATTGGATACGAGAGGAATTCGATGGTTTAGTGGAATCCCAAAGCTCAACAGTTTAAATTAAATTTCTGAATACTGTCTGAAGTTTATAATTTCATAAAATTATAAAATAAATTGAACTTAACTTTCCTTATGTTCACTGCCTACCACATTTCACTGAAATTATATTCTTAAAAGTTATTTGTATTAATTTTTGCTATTAAATATAATTTAATGAAATTGATACTAAGCAATTTGTACATTATTCTCCACATTTCTTCCAACTTAAGATCAAATTGAACAAGTCTTTTTCAAACTAAAAGCATGTCAAAAATAATATGTTTGCAGATTTGAAAGCGAAAGTATTTTTTGTAAGTAGTGAGTAGATTTTGAGGAAGTTGATACCTTCTTAATCATTTGTTTATCAATCTCTAACTTCCCTCTAATTTTGGGCCAAATCGAACCCTTAGTTTTTGAGATATAGTCAAATCAAGGAAAATACTTTACTTTATATTCAAGAGAATATGGTGAATGGAATTAAATAAGATTGATTCAGCGTCATTTTTTTATTGATATCCTCCTTTCTTTAAGCATCGAACAAGCGGTTTCTGAAATATTGGCATATCTAAGAAAATGTATTTATACTTGCATAAGCAAAAATACAGAATGGAATTTAATGAAATCAAATATGGGACAATCTAGGAACCAACTCACATAATCACTGAAAATTTCATGAAAATCTGATAAACAATAGTTGGTGATATCTCTGCCAAATCGATTTGACTACAGACAGATAGATACTGAACGAAATTTGATTCTTGATGTCTAAAATGTAAGTGGAAATTTGAGATTTTGAGTACAGAACGTTTTTAATGTCTTGCACAAATACAAAGCTTCCCTATCTTCGGTAGTGAGGCAGAAAAATTAATAACATTAATTTTATTTGGATATGAATTTGCTCTGTAAAATTTAAAATTATGTAATTTTTTTTCTGCTTTTTTTTTACTATAACTTTAGGAATAAATAACTAATTTGTCTAAATTTTAGAAAAATAATGTATTTCTAAATATGTGTATTATATGATAAATATGTTTTTATTTATATAGATATATTTCGTTTTGTACAGTTAACCAAAAAGGGAAGTGTCGAAGGCCTTGAAAGGAGATTATCACACGATAAAGGTCCTGCACCGTTACCACCAGCTGCTGTTTTAACTAAAGAAACAGAACCTTCAATTAAGAAATCTGTCGAAAATATCAATGAACCAGATGAAAGAATAGAACCTCAAGATGAAACTCCGGTGATTATTGGTAGTAATGACCGTTTGATTTCTGATGAGATAAAAGAAGAACCTCCTATAATCCCACAGATTAGGCGTAACAGTATGGAAAGAATGGGAGTAATAGATTATACTCCCGATGAAAGTGATAGTAAATGGCCTCCTCCTGTGTCTGAAGCAGATAGTCGGAGGTCACGACCTGAAATAAATGGGGGCTGGAAAGAAAGAGCAAGAAGTTCTTCAGCTAGCAATAGGAATAGGAGGAGACCCGCTCCTCCTCCTTTATCAGAAGAGACTATCAATGCATTGGCTAAACCTGCTAAGCCTGTGGTTATCCTTAATGGTAAATTAATTTTTTTTATTTTATTGATAATTTTTTAGTAATTTCAATGAAATTAGTCTTTCTTTGTTTAAGCCAAGTACTGGCATCTTTATATGTAGTATAGATGTATACTATTTTGGTATATTATATATAGATTTATATTATTTTGGCAACACATCGTTTGAGGTATTCATTGGCCTGCTTATTTCATTTTTTATAACTAACGTGTTTTTTATAGTTTCCAATGATAATAAATAAATCAATTATATTCTTTTAATAATTTTAGCTGTAAAAAATATTATTATTTATATATATATATTTTTTTTATGAAGAAATGGACAGGATAAGTTCAGAAAATAAGAAAGGAACCACAGTGAGGATAGGAGATGACCTTAGTAGAAGTCGAGAGAGCTTAGATGGAGTTATGAACAGAAATAGAGAACAAGCTGAACTGTCTATTAGAAGGGATCAGTCAAGAGAAGAAATAAGTCAGCGTGGTAGAGAGGTGCTAGAAAGCAATGTAACAGTTGTAACTACAACCCATCCTCCAGCTTTACACATTCATCATCCCCCAGCTCAAGTAGTCATTGTGTCAAATGACAACAACAAAACTCTGGTTTGTATCTGTCTAATTATGAATTATTTAATAATTAATTTAGCTATATTATTTTTAAAACCAGTTATTTTAATTAGTTTCTTAATCTCAAGTTTTTTGTGTGTATAATTATAGTAAAAATCTGGTGCGCGCAACACACAACTTTCACTTATCGCTCAACTTTGAATAGAAATTATTATCTGGCCATGTCGGGCTATTATAAAATTTTTTGATTGCATTTTTAACCGAGCTAAAGCTAAATGATTATAGCTAACAAATCATAAATACCATTCAAATAACAAAAACCCTATTTATTATATCACCGGTTGATTACGGATTGTACGACTATTAGCGAAAAGTACAACAAATCTGTATAGCTGCTCAACAATGTTTCAACCTGGATAAGTATTTTTCTTTTATTCTCCTTTATTTAATTATCAAATTCTTTCAAAAGTCATGTTTAGCATTTTTTCATAACTTTTAACAAAGATAAATAGTTATTATTTATAATAAACAAAATTAAAGGTACTTAAGAGGAAGACATGATAATGTTGGGATTTAACAAAGGGAAAATTCACCAAATTATTCACTAATGTAATCTTCTAAAAAGTTACATGACAATTTTTCGGAATAAACGGACATTGATACCTAATTATTTAAAAGTAATATCAGATCTAGAATTATCAAACTACAGTAAATGTATTTAAGGTTATAAATATATGTGTTATACATCCATGAAATGATTTTATATTTTACTTCTTCTTTCACACAAGTACAATGAAATAGTTTTTTAAACAATGTCATTGCCTTGATTAACTGGATTTTAAATACTTTTTCAAACTTCATAAAGGAGGAAACACACTTTTTGTTCATGTTAAGACATAGTTACGAAAATATACTATTTTATTTGCTCTACTGACCTGCAAAGACATGGGTCTCCTCATAGATAGCCTGCTAGACGGATTTGTCTGCTGCAATAGCTCTAGGTCGCTCTATATAGCCCTTAACATCGTCCAATCATCTCATCCTAGGACGCTCAGGTGTTCGGGCACCTGCTGGATTTCCATACATTAATTGTTTTGGAAGATGTTCCCTGTGTGCTCGACATGGCCGAGCCACCTCAACCTTCCCTTTTTTATTATGTCTAAAATATTTGGCTGGTCCAATAATGCTCTTAATTCATCATTTTTTTCTTATTATCCATGCTTACCTAGAGCAGACTGGTCAGTATATTTTTCTGGAAACTCCTTGTTCCCATGAGCTTTTTATATCCTGCGTCAGGATCTATGTTTCGCTTCCATAAGTGGTGACTGGGCCTATGATGATTTTATAAGTAATAAAGATTTTTGAAGCATAATGCCTTGATAACTCCAAAATAACAATAATTTAAGAAAATATTGCCAAGAGTTTTAATGTATTCCTGAAGATAAGAAAAGAATTCTTTATATGTTGGAAAATGTGAAAGAAGAACATGTAATTTCAGAAATATATTGTTACCGAATAATATAGTTCACAATACCCTCTATTAACTGTACTAATTTGGAAAGCTAATACATTTATTTATTTTAATACTCTAATTTTAAGAGAGAGAAAATCTAACAACAATGAAGTGACATCATCCTATATTAAATGTAATTTTTAATTAACGACTAAGTAAATATTTATTGATGAATGTTGGACAACTAGAGAGTGTAACTGTCATAAAATAATAATAAGAAATTGGGTATTTGCATGAAAAAAAAAATATATTCATATAAATTAGAGCAACAATAACATCCAAGTGATAAAGAGCGTATGTTAGATTGGATTTGCATTTCTTAAATAGTAAAAAAGAGGTTCATATTTAGCTAAAAAGTTTTAAATAAAATTTAGTCAGGGGGTTGTGATGAGGACTAGAGGAGGAGCCAGAATCCACCGTAGTATGATACTGTCAAACCTCTCTAAATTCTACTTTCTAATAATTTTTTTTTTTTTAATTTTTTTTTTTTTTTTTTTTTTTTTTTTTTTTTTTTTTTTTTTTTTAAGAATGGGTCTTAATCTTTCATTAAGACATTATTACTAAGATAATAATTACTTTATTATTTTTAGAAAATATTTTTAAAAGAAAAAATCTTGGATTAAAAATTTGAATATGTAAAATATGCAATTAAACATCTGTATATCAAACGTTTCAATCTTTATTTAAAAAAATGTTCTGTATATTGATTAAAATAGCTATGCTTAAAGAAGAGTTGGTCAGGGGTGTGGTCTATAGACACGTATTTTATTTTGTTAGCCTACGTTTCTATGTGTCGTTTCTTTCAAAAAAATGTCTTTGTCCTTGTTTGAGATATAAACTGTTTCATTCAACTATACTTCGGAACTATTATTGTTATTTGTGAGAAAAAACATAATCAACCAAAAAAGGTAGTAGTGGTATATGTTTACTTTGAATCTTTGCAGTATAGCAAGTATCTGATTAAAAAAATCTATTCAGGAAAGATTTCATTTACGTTATGTAATTAGATAGATTCATAGAATAAATAGTTTAAGTGGGGCTCCAATCATATCTATGCCCACAAGCAAACAAAATTGCTATTCAACGAATATTTGAAAAGGAAATATCTTAGTTATTATTGGCAAATTTATGAGTGTTTCTTTTAAAATAACCATTTATTGGTATGTAATCTTAACAATAATTTACAGTCTTTAATTATGAAGTTAGTTATTGTATTCGACATTTCTTATCACTAGTTATATTTTCATATTACCTTCCATCTCTTATTTCATTGTTTCAAATTATTATATTCTCCGTGTTATGACGTATTTACCAATGAAAAACAGTGCAAATATCACATTATCTTAAATTTATACATTTCTTTATTGCATTAATTTAAAGGAATTTTATATAAGAATGAAAGTAATGTTTTTCTAACATTTCAAATAATTTAAATGTTATGTATGTTTTTATTATTATTAGCAATATCAAATAATTAAAACTGTTAGAAATATACAAACCAATTGGTGCCTGTTGCTTTACTATTAATGTATCTTCATCTAGAAAAGGGTAGAGAGCTTTTGGGGATTTAAGTTATTTTAATTTAAATGACAGTGAGATATTATGAACAAAAAAAAACATATTACAGAAAATTACTCGTCTTGTTCTCTTTTCGTTTATAATCTTAAAAGTACAGATATCCAATGGTATCAGCTGGACATTAGCAGCCTGAGTTGTATTTGTGTCTTCACTCTCATGACATAACTTCATCCCCAACATTTTTCATCTTTAACACTTTTTCTGTTATCTTTTTAATACAAAACAAATCAGAAAATAATGTGATTTAATGTTTTTATTGCTATTACCTAATCTTCACCAAAGAATATAAATTTAAAATTCGTGCAAGTACCTACTAATTTTCTGAATATGGGTTCAAATTAAATATTTTTAATAAATGGAAGAAATTTACCACATAAACACCTTTAAATATATCTTAACTTTTAATATATAATCTTTTAACCTTAGATTGATTCTGAAGAAGAAAACGACATTGTGGTTGTGCAGTCAAGAGGAAATGAAGAAGAGAAAGAGATCCATGATATGAGCCATGTTTCTGTTGTTACTGTTGGGGACTCTTCCCAACAAGATACTACCGGTGATTCAATGTGGAATTCTGTGATAGAAGGCTAGTTGATTTTTTATTTATGACTGTTAATTCATTTTTCCTGTAATTCAATTTTACATCATCAATAATCTCTTTATATTCCATTAGTTATTGTTTTGTTTAGTTAGTAAACATAAAATCTATTAACAGCTGACAATTTTCAATGAAAGCTAATTTTATATTACAGGTATGGAAGAAGATTCATTAATGGTTGTTCAACCTAAGCGTGGGACTTCTATTATTGTTGAAGGCAATACTAATGAAATAGAATCTATGCGTAGAAAAACACATAATCATGTGAAACCTAATGGTCAACCTCCATTAATACCATCAGATAATGAGGAAGTTTATATAATTGTCAACAATTCTACAAATATTGACAGGGTAAGTTCACACTAGTTAAAAAATATTTATATTAAGGAGTGGTACTTGCTATTTATTAACCGTTTTCTGATTTTACTGTACGCAATTAACATGCAAATAGCTAAATATGTTCACCTAATCATCTTTTGTAGTTACCACTTTCAGCAATCTACGATTCTTTAAATACTTTGTCATTGTTCAAATAGGAATTATTTTTTTAAATGGGTTTATTGAGACAAATCTATGGTTTTATTGATAAAGGATATTAAAATTGTTTTTTGTTTGTTTTGTATTAGAAATTAGTAATTTAAAAAATATAAATTAATATAAAATATTTTTTGTTAATTATAAATAATTAAATTCAAACAAGTAGAAAAATAAGGACAACTTAGGACAGAAGCTTGGGAACTGGTATAGATTTAAACAATTCTTCAACAAAAAGAGTGTTGACAGAAAATTGCCTGGGGTGCTGATATACTTGTAAATTATTAATTTGTATTAAATAGCTGAGGAGATTAGAGGGTAGTTCATGATCTGCCTCCAGGAAAGGTTTCTTCTGCTCCAAAATACAGGTCTCCACGTGACCTGGAGGAGATTTGAACCTTTATATAATTCAGCAGAGAATTATAATTAATAAGATATTTCATTTGAAGCTTTACTATTAATGAGATTGATGACCTGGAGGAGATTTGAACCTTTATATAATTCAGCAGAGAATTATAATTAATAAGATATTTCATTTGAAGCTTTGCTTAGCTGGAAGTGGTTGATGAGTAAACAATTGTGGGATATCTCATCTGTACCAAACAGGGCCTCCTTCCTCTTGCGAGGTATGTTCTTTAACTGTGAATGGGTTTAATGAATCAACACTATTATCAATTTTATTCTTTTGTTTCAATTTTTATATAGTATTCTGTAGGTTTATCATATCTACTGAATAGTGAAATAATTAAGTTGTTTCATTAATCACTGATTAATGTTGTATACTAAAATAGTTGTTTTAAAAAAAATTGTACTGCTCTTAAAAATAATGAAATTCAATCCTTCATTTCTATTATTTCTGTGATGTCTCATCTCTCGGGTTAAATTACGTTCGTGTGAACTATAAATTTAGAACATATGTTTCAGTTGATAGTTAATAACCATTTTATTGTTCCTATTTTTTTCTTGAATTAATATAGTTTTTCTGCTTAATAAATGGTGATGGCTGCTAATTGGTTAGTTCTTGCTTTTGCCTCTTTATCTGTTTCCTAGATTTTCCTCTAGTTTTCTGTAGTTAAGGTCAATTATAATATATTGATTTATGTACAAATTGTCTCTATGTATCATGGTTGTGAGTAGAATGGGGAAGAAGTCCTTTAATATTTTGTTTTTAGAGTAAAGATGCTGAAAGGCACAGAAGGACTCATAGTCATGGAAGATCTAGTTCACAATCAGATGGTGGTTCCACTACAGGGAATCGTACTCCTCCTTCTGCTGCTAGCACTAGGACATTTGATAGGTAAACTATTATAAGTTGGGTGGCAGTTTCCTTTTTTGTTTTTTCACAAAATCTTGCAGTGTTAAAAGCATTTCCATTTTTTCTTATCTCATAACTAGGTCTGATGCTGAAAGTGTTTCTACTACAATTAGTCAAGATAGTCGTGGTAGCAACAAGGAAAACAGGCCTAGCAGGTATCATGATGCAGAAGTTGTCCTAAGAGCGAAACCTGAATACAATAGGGTATTTAAACACCATTACATACTACTGTAATAAGTATACGATTTTTGTTTTATCTTGTATATTCTCACTTAAGCACATTTTGAGGATATGTTCTTCAAGCAGAGAATTATTCTGTGAAAAAGTATCAAAAAATTGTGGTCCAAGTAAGAGAGTTCTGTGGAGTCTGAATGCACAGTGGAAAATATTTTATTAAATGCCATAATTCCAATTGTTCCATTTTTTATTTTATTTATCTTTTAGCCTTTTGACTCATCCTCTTCTCCTGGATATGATAATATTGTGGAATCTTAACTTTATTAATTCATTGGATCATTGAAGATTCAAAAAGGCAATTGATCTTACTTAAAGAGTGTCAGTACTCCTCTTGAGATGTTTGTGTCTATATTTCAAAACTGACCATGCAAAAACTCTATTATTTAAAAATTATAGCTATACTGTACTCAATAATTTCATCTGGCTCATAATATGCCATATTTTTTTTTTTTTTTTTCCTTGGACAATTTTTTCTATATCTTGTTTCATAATGGTAGTGCTAAAATTTCCTTCTAGCTACTCATTTTTTCTTTATTCCAAGCTTTCATCAGTAAGTTTTGTTTTGTATTCATTATTGTATTATTAAAATTACATATGAATGAATACATTTCATTTTATATAACTGACCAATGTCATGTTTTTCAAATTTTATTTTTTCTATTTCTAATTATAGTTGCCTATCTCTGCTTATGGAATATATCTTTAAAATGTGTATTCCTTTTCTTTTTTTTTCATATATGTTTTTCATTATCAACCATATTGAAATGGTTATGGTGGAGATACAGTTGACTACTATTATCTTTTCGAAATTAACAGAGAAAAGGTTAAATGAAGTTGGTTAAGTTTCTCATAGAATTGGTTGGCTATGTTCGCATACTTGTTGGATTAATTATATGAATGAGTCCTAGGTTTTATTTGCTTTGTTTTCTCTTCGATCTGCTTCATCTGAAGTTTATTATCTTCTAGGATGGAAAGTCTTGTGTATTAGTTCATTGTTCTCTATATTAGAATCTTGAGGTACACAAAATTATTCTCTGGATGTTTATGTTGTTTCTGAATTGGATATTTTTTTCTAAATTATGCTTGAAATAATACCCACTGTCATAAAAGATGGAACATTATTAGTTTTCAAAAACTTTAAAAATCTAAGGTGAACTAAGGAAAGATTTAATTCACAAACATTTTATTTATTTTTTGTGTCATTCTTACATTTTCATAAAATGTATTGTAACAATTTCATCTTATTTATCATTATCATTTGTTGTTATTACTATTAACAATCTTTAGTTTTAATATTGGTTTTTTGTTATAATGCGACTCTTCTTTATTGTATATAATTTTGGTATTTCTGTTCAGCATGAAAATGTCCGGATTAGCAGATCAAAAGAAGAATTGGAAATAATGAATCTTAAAAAGAAAACTCGAAAGAGAACCAGAAAATTTGAAATTGATGGTGTAGTTGTTACAACCACTACTAGCAAAGTTATTTATGGTGATGAAGATAGCGGAAGAGGTTATGATGATCATTTATTCAGGTAATTATGTCAGTTCCTCAATCAAGGTCAAATCAAATCCTTCTAATGAAGTAAATAATTAACTCGATTTGAATGATTAAATCGATGGTCACAGTTGGCGTACACATTTTTAAACTACTCCACATTGGAGTTAACAACTTCATATATCAATTTTTTATTATTTATTTTATTTTATTTATTTATTATTATTGTTCTAGATCTTAATTCACCTGTTAATTTTTTCTAGTAGAAAAAAAAAAGTAATAAACATTCACTTTTTTGTTTTTTTGAATTTACTAGTGGAGTTCATAGTCAGTAAAAAAATGATTTTGACAAACTTTTTTTGTGTTATGTTACGTCCAAAAATATTGTTAAAATGTTCTGATTTTTACTCCTACTATTCTACACCTATAAAAAACACTTATTTTATGTGTGTATTTGTTTTGTTTTTTTATGTAGTATGTGAAAAAAAAAATACTCCAGAGATTTTAATGAGATTATGGTACTGAAACTATTATTATTACTTAAATATTGTTATCCCTTGGGCACCTCGTGTCCGTTTTGTTGACATGTTTTAAATTTGTTTGTTGTTAATATATATGCATGCCAACATTTGGCACCCCAGGGCAATGACCTCTCCTCCCCCTCCCAAAAAAATTAAATTTATTTCTCAAGCTCGTTTATACTATGTAATATTTAAAGTTTATTTCTAAAATACTAATGCTAAAATTAATTACTTTAATACATTTTATATATATATATATTTTAAATTCTATAAGTGGCGAGTACCCCTGTTGATCAGTACCCTTAACTGGCGTCCCAAAGCAATTGCCCTGGTTGCTCTGCCCTAAGGCCTGCACTGTATTTCATTCGTATGCGACAATCCACTTGATCTCATTAATTACCAATCTGAATGAATATAAGTTTACAGATAGAGGAAAAACGGGTATTGCGTGGTGATTTATTTGTTATTGGAAAATAAATATTCGTAAAGATCCCAAAGAAAAGCTTTTTCGAATTAAACAGCAAAAATTGGAATAACTTCAGGGTGTTTATTAATTATAAATTCACAGTAAATTTTGTTAAATTGTAAAGTTATTATTTCTAAACTTGAATAACTTCCTTCAATTTTTGTTAACTGGAGTATTCCTAAAATCTTTTTATTATTTTGGCTATTAATATTTAATTCTAATTTTAGCTGTCTATATTGCGATTTTATGAGCTAATCATTTCATTAATAATTAGTAAGCCATTCTTTGGCAGTTCTGGTAATTTGTACGTATATGCATTATTTTTTATTGGATCTTGTTGTTTAATTTGGTGATTTCATTGAAATTATTTAAATATTTTTTTTTATTTCTATTAAGATTTAAGTTTTAAAAACAGGTTTATTTATTTATTTTTTCTCTTAAGTTTCAACAGTTCCATCTAATTAAAACATGTGCTAATAAAGTATGTAAATAAAATTATTAAGTACATTGATTACTCTTTTACTTATTATAACACGTTACAGGGAGAGAAAGTGAAATATAAATATATTGCTCAAAACAAGATCAGTGTTGAAACAGACGTTAAATTCAAATGTTATATCTATTTAAACTGAGAGTTGAAAACGAAAATGAAGATTATATAAGACAAAAACAGAAGAACAGCTGACAAAAGTGTTGCTTAAAATTAACCCTTAGTACGGACCTTACCATTTTGTTTGAAAAAATTTGAAGCGTTTTCATTGTTGCTTGTTTCTTTTGACACCTTGTTTTGCCGTCAATCATTGCTGAGAGTTTGAAAGGAATCTGTACCACTGTATTATATATTAAGTAGATATAAATATATCATCAGGTCTTAAAATCTAAAAAATACAATTAAATATTATTTTAAACAACTGCAGTACCATTTATAAGGGGTGTGGCTATAAAGTAATGAGACAGATGCTGCAACAAAAGTATGCATGCACCAAGTGTTACAGCTACCTATAAATAATTAGTGTGAAGCCTTCTCTTTTTAATGCAGTATCTCTCGCTTTTATAAACAAATTGGTATATCAGTAGCTTTCATTCATATTAGAATAGTTTTTTCGGTTCGCTGACAAAATTTTACGATGTCAACAATAGAATAACTAATAGTTACAAAATTTCACTTCAAGCTTAGAGAAACAGCTACTGAAACTTATTTATAATTCATTGAAATAAGTGTATTGCAATGAATGATTAATGTGTGCATGTGTTTTTGAATGGTTCAAGCATTTTAAAGATGTTTAAACGAAAAGACTTTGAAGATGATTCGATGATTGACTGCCAGGTCACTCTTGCACATCCAAATTGGATGTTGAAGATTACCAAAACTGAAAAAAATAATTGGTTGTCTGGTTCTATCTGACCATTGGTTAAGAATTCCTACTGTAAATTTTAATATGCAAAAAGTGTGTGCTAAAATGATACCTAATTCTCACATTGGAAGAACAAAAAGTTCGCAAAAATGTTTCTGCTGCCACTTTAAATGCCATTGAAAGTCAACCAAATTTATTGGATAGAATAATAACATCTGATTAATTGTGATTTTCTACTTTTGCTTCTGAAATGAAGTGCCAATCCATGCTCTAAAGAATCCTAAGACACCTAAAGCCAAAAAAGCCTGAATGAGCTAATCAAAATTATATGCTATGATTACTTTTTTATTTCAATATTCACGGGATTGTGCACCTTCACTGGATTCCTGAAGAGCAAACTATTAATAATCATAACTTACTAGGATGTTCTGAAAAGTTTCTGACCACAACGTGAAGATGGCAGAACTCGTAAATAAAAGCAAGTGAATTTCATTGTTTATCTGTTGACAGTTATCCACCAAAGTTTCAGCCATTTTGGATGTACAGTTTTTATGTAACAGTCCGTTGATGTGAGTGTTTTAGTGAAAATGGACAAAATCGAGTATTGAGCTGTCATTAAATATTTGTTTTTGAAAGGCAATATGCCTATGAAAATCAAAGATTAGTTGGATTCTGTGTATGGGGACTCTGCACCATCATTTACCACAATGAAATTTTGAGCAACTGAATTTAAACGTGGCCATAAGAGCTTGGGGGACAATGAACGTTCAGGAAGTCCAAAAACTACAACTACCAACAAAAGCATTGCCAATGTTCACCAAATGGTGCTAGATGACTGCCGAATTAAAATGAGAGAGAGATAGCAGATGTTATGAACATGTTTGTTCCACATTAAATCAACATTTAGATATGAGAAAGTTGGGTGCCGTGTTTACTCATGTTAGACCAAAAATGTATTCGAATGAACATTTCCAACGCTCTGTTGGCACAGTTTAGGCGCAATAAATCCAAGTTTTGGCACCAATTAATTATTATAGATGAAACTTGAATACACCATTATACGCCCAAAACAAAAATACAGTCCAAACAGTGGACTGCAAAGGGGGAACCGGCTCCAAAAAAAGCAAAAACTGTTTTCTCGGCTGGGAAAGTGATGGCTACTGTTTTTTGGGATCGTCATGGAGTTATTTTAATCGACTATCTTCAAAAAACCATCACAGGAGTTTAAACTGCTTGACCATCCGCCTTACTCAACAGATCTAGCCCTAAGTAACTTCTTTTTGTTCCCTTATCTAAAAATTGCGCTCAAAGGACATAGCTTTTCGTCAAATGAAGAGGGCAATCACCTTTGTGAACAATTATTTTGTAGAGAAAAATGCTGAGCACTTTTTGGACGGGTTACAGAGATGGCAGCATTGCTGGGAGAAGTGTGTTGAAAGGAGACTGTTGAAAAATAAAAAATAAAAATTCAGAAAAAATGTCTTGTAGTTTTGTTAGGTCAGAAACTTTTCAGATCACCTTCATATTTTCACATTCTTGCTCAAATCCATGAAAGAATTGGGAAAAAATGCCCCGAATTGTGGAAGGACAACTCGAGTTCTTCAAGAAAATACGTAGGCTCATAATACATTGTCAATCAAGAAGTTTCTAACCAAGTACAGCATCCAGTGCATGATTTGAGTCCATTGTAGCTGTGAAAGAAAAAACAAGACACGCCTTGAAGGAGATAGAAAAAGAATTCCAACAGTATTACAGATAATGGAAAATTAACATGGAGGGTTATAAGGATAGATGAGGGGTGTATATGAAAGGTGATAATAAGTAAATATGAATGAAACCAAATAGTTTTCCAGTATAAGTCTTTTTATTTAATAGCCGCACCTCATATATTATTCGTTGGTTTAGCTTAATATAAATTTTAAAATTTATTTTCTATGCAAATTCCATTTAGTTTCATTCAAGTATTATAAAAGTAGATATTATTAGTCATTACTCGTTTATCATTTTATATTACCTTCTAATACTTAATACGTTATATATTAATTTCCAATAATTCTGTAGCTTACCGACAGCATATTTTACATTTACATTAATACTTAAATTAATTTTACAAATTCTTTAATGGTTCATATTTATCCATTTTTGTTAATTATTTTCAATAACCATCCTTTGTAATTGACTAAAAATAAAAAAGTTAATCCCCTCAAAATTTAAGGCTTTACGTTTCAAGATTTGTAGAATCCGAAAATCGGCTAAACAAAATCCTTCTCTTCTGCACGCCTTTTGCGCCTTTTATCTGAAACTTAAAAAAAAACACCTGAGGATGATTCTGCGAACTCTGCATTACCATCTACCCTTTCCTTTCAAGTTGGCCGCCGAAAAACTTGTATCGCTATAGACTGAAGTGCATAAATGGATGTACCGATTTTAATAAAACTTGGCTAAAGTCCTCTCTTCGAAGCCCTTTAAATTTATGTATATAACATAGTTTACCAAAGCTATGTTAATGAAACTTGGCTAAAGTCCTTTAAATTTATGTTAAATACCTAGTCTCTCAAATTCCTTAAAAGTACCAGGCTTTGGTAATCAATGTTGTATCCATTTGCCCCATCAAAGTAAGTATTAAATGCTTTTGTGGTATTTCTATGACTTGTTGAATAATAATTGAAAAATAAAATGGGTGTAATGAAAATTTCCATTCTGTCCCTTGTGAGTCAAGTTTATCTTTTTTTCTTGTTCAGATTACTAGAGATTTGGATTATTGTGGCTGACCTGTATTAACAATGAGAGATGGGTTAATTATTTCAACAAAACAAGCCTTGAGGTACTTTAGTAAGGAGAAAAATATTCTGAAAATTAGGTATTATGGTACTGTAAGAATATTTCAATGGGGATAAACCTAAGCGATATTATAAAATCATGTGATTGTATATTGATATGAGTTTCATCAATTTTGTTAAACCGTTTTTTAACCATGTTTTATGTTAAATCGTTAGTATCATATAGGAGCATTTAGTGAGACTTGTTAATTTGAATTTCGGCGTCCCAAAAATGTACCTCATTTGCAAACTTCAGTTCTAAGGTTTTCACAGTACTTTTCATTACTATATATTTCATTTATAGGTAGGTGAATGTAATAAAATTGCCTATTAATTGTAGTAAAACTTGAAAGTTATCAATACTTACAACTATTTTATGATGACCATATCTAATTTTGAAGTAAGAAAAAGTTGTTATAGTATTAATGCCTTTTTTTCTTTGTGTAGGAAACAAGAACTTAGAGAGTTAAAAATGCTTCAAAAACAAGAGCAAAAGCAATTTCAAGATTTGGCTTTTAAAGCTCATATTGCTAAAGAACAACAGGTAAATATAGCTTTTTTGTTCTTGTGCATCCTAATTTTGTTTTATATCTCCTTACTGCTTACTTTAGATTTCTAATTGAACACTACTCTTCATAGTACCTCATGGTGTCTACCATTTAGGTAACTTAAAGATTTTGTGTTAAACGGAAAAATCAATGAACTGGTCAGGAATTCATAATAAATTTTGTCTCGGGAAGATTTTCATGGGTTGTTCTAACGTTATTTAGAATCTCTTATACAAATTAAAATATATTCCCCATATTTTCTGTGATAGTCCTGGGTCCATTTTCCTTTTTTTTTTTAGATGTGGCTCCACTTTTTTCCTCTCGTCAATTTGTTTCAAAATAGATGTAAATTTTAAGTTACATTGTGAAGATTCAGAAAAAGTCTACGTGTTCTACAATCATTATATCAAGCCTTATATAAGTAGTAATAATTAATAAATTAAAAAAAACAAAACATTATTTTAGTGTTATACTAATATACAGCATTTTGTATTCAAACTTCATTTTTCTTCTTTGTGGAAATATTGTTAATCAGGAATTTTCTGAAAAATTCTTGAAAAGTCAGCAATTTCAATTACCAAAATCGGTTAGACACCTGCTTGATTCGTTGGTACATTAGTACCAGCTTGATAAAGTTTATACTTGATTTATCACCAATAGAGGTTTTGCTATACACTACTTTGATATCACCTCTTACTTTACATTGAATATCATTTAATGTTTGCTAAATTATAGGATAAAAAATTTGAGCAAGAAAGAACTAACCTCATCAGAGGTTATGAGAGTGATTTAGAAACACTAATTAGGCAACAAAGGCAGCAAGTTGAAAAGGCTGAAGCACATCAAGAAGCAGATCTTAGGCTGACCAGTAAGAAGATCCGAGCAGAGCAGGTATGTATCTTATGTTCTTTGTCATCTTCCAAATGTTTAATTTCTAAAATTTGAATTTTTGATTTTAGGAAAGAGAATTAAAAGAGTTTAGAGAAAGTCAAAAACAAGAAATGAGGCTGCTGAAACAAGAAGTAGATTTAATGCCAAAAGATAAAAGAAAAACCATTTTCAAAGCAAGAAAAGAAAAATTAGAAGCTGAACATGAAGAAAGGGTAATTTATTTTTATTATTCAGGGCAGTATAGTTGTATAATTTACATTTCTACCATTTTTTTTTTTAATGGTGATAATGATTTATACATATCATGGAATCGCAAAAGCTTCTCATTCTTTAAAGTATTTACCTACACTGTTCCCATTATCGCAATTCTAAAAACTATCTTTTAATGGATCTAATCTTATTCTTTACCTGCCTATTAAATACTTTTTATTTTCGTTACCTAATACTATACCTATTATTATTCATAATAGTATCCAATACTGCAGTTACTATTACTAATAGTAACTGAAAATATTATATCCTATGGCTTTGTATTAACTATTGATAATTACAAGAGATATTGAGTATTGATTTATTAATGGTTATTTTTTATTTTCACAGGAAAAACTTTTCTTGCAAAAATTAAATGAAAACCATGAAAGTTCCCTTCGCAGACTGAGTGATTCGCATAGAGAAAAAATAGCACTAATGGATCGGCAATTTTTACAGCAGAAACAGCAGGTTAGTCATAAAAATGATTACTCAAATATTATTCACTAAGGCTCATTAAAAAAACTGCTTATATAAAATAATTTATACTATATATTTGTCCTACTTAATATAATAGTACCATAATTAATATCCTTGAAATTATAAATTTATCCTAATTAAATATATACTTATGTGATTATTATTGGAAGATTCCTTTACAAAAACTTTTAGTCTCACCCACAGTAAAACTGATCCACTAAATCATGTAACTGTAAAAACAGTCTTAAATAATTTATATATAAGTAATATATTCCATATAATTGTTAAAATAAATACCTAATTCAATCTAGGAAAGTTAACTAAGTAATTAATATAAGGTAAGTAATTAATTTGTCTAAGACTAGGACTTAATATTCTGTGTCACTATATTAAAATCCAAAATTAAATAATTAATCACACTAGAATAGTTTTAAAGTTTTACTCCTTTTAATTAACATTTATTCTTAAATTATAATAATATTATTGGAAACAAAACATGTACACAATACAGTTAGATATAATATGTGCCCTCAAATATTTATTTCTTCTACTATGAAAGCAGTATAATTAATGTACGGTCTTATCACGGAGCAGAATGTGGGTCAGTTCATGAATTAGTAATCATGAAACTTGGACAAAAACCTAATATAAAATAGAGAAAAGAAAACAGTTTTGATTTCGAGAATTTTAATTTGGAAAAATTAAAAAATTCCATCAATTAGAACTCGATTCAAGCTAGATGTTAAGAATAGGTTTGATGCTTTAGAGCCTTGTGACAAGGACCGCGAGGATATTGACAAGTTATAATTAGAGATCAGGGATAATATTAAAGCGTCGGTAACTCGTGTCTAGGAAAAAAGGAAAATAAGAATAACAAACCATGTTTGAAGATTGCTTAAACATGTGTGAAAAAAAAAGCCGCTAAATTAAAAGCTCTAAATAATCCTAAGGAAGACAATCTGGAATGCTTCCGGACCTCAAAGAATGAAATGAAAAAAATTGCTTCTTAAAAAAAAAATCTTAAAAATAAAATAATATAAATAAAATCGATAGGAGCGTTAGAGACATACACAAATGAATATTAATAGATCACGTAAATGTTTAGTCCCTGTCATGTTTGAAATTAGGGATGAAAATAACAATATTCTGACTGACCCGGTAGACATATTAAATAAGCTTAAGGACCATTTTGACAATATCTTAAATACAGGAAATTATAATCTGTGTCCTGAGTATCAGAGTGGTGAACCGTTAATAGAAGAACCGAGTAAAGAGGAAGTTGAAGTAGCTATTGGAAAATTAAAATCTTACAAAAGCAGTGGGAACCGATATTATTCTAAGTGAGCTAGTGAAGGTATTAGGGGAAGCTGGAATTTCTAAAAGACATTTGTTGGTTAAAAAGATCTGGGAGAATGAGAAATTATCTGAAGAAAGGAAAGAATCTATTCTTATTCCGATTTACAAAAAAAGCTTGAGGACAGATTATTATAATTATCGAGGAATTTCACTCCTTCCAGTATGTTATAAAATATTCACTTTAATCTTTACTATTTGAATCACAGAATACGCTGAGGAAATTATCGGAGACTATCAATTCGGATTTAGACGGAAATGTTCAACTATTGATCAAATATTTTCTTTATAACAAATATTGGAGAAAAGTTTAGAATACAATGTTGTTGTTCACCAGATGTATATCAATTTCAAAAAGGTTTACGATTCTATTGACTATCAGAAACTGTATAATATTCTAATCGAGCAACAGATTCCAGAAAAAATTGAACATTAAGTCAGGATGTTCTTGACGGAAACACTCATCAAAGTTAGAATTGGCAATAATATATCCGAAAAGTTTGAGGTTCGTTCAGGGTTTTAAACAGGGTGATTCCCTTTCGCCTGTACTGTTCAATTTGGCATTAGAACATGCCATTAGAGAGGTAATGCGTACTGAAAAAAGTTTTGATCTTGGTAGGACAACACCTGTGCCCGGATATGCGAATGATCTGCTCCAGTTAAACGGAGACAGGGAAACTATAAAACTAGTTAATGAAAGCCAGTAATAATCTAGGGCTCGATATAAACATGGATAAGACAAAATATATGGTTAGCTGAAAAAATGGCAATGTTACTGGTGATATCGATATAGACGGTAATAAGTTTGAACACATTCAGAAGTTTAGGTACTTAGGGTCTATGATAACTAGTAAAGACGAAACTGAAGAGGAGATTAAGGTTAATGCTTATTATTTTTCTGTGACAAAACTATTTAGATCGCACCTCTTGTCCCGGAACTTAAAAACTAGAATCTTAAAACCATTATCTTACCTACAGTTTTTTATGGATGCAAAACTTGGCCACTTACATTAAGGGATGAGCAACGTCTTTAGGTTTTTGAAAATAAAGTATTGTGTAAAATATTCGGACCGAAGAAGGATGAGTTAACCAGAGAGCTCAGATGGTTACCCAACACTGAATTGCGTGATCTGTATCCGGTTAATATAATTGAGGTGATTACATCACTGCTGTGATTACATCAAATGGTCTTGTTAAATTGTTAGGCTTAGTATCGAAACAATTTCTGAAAGGTTAATATTTGCTGTACCGAATTGTAAATGTCTGAGGGGTAGACCGAAGCGAAGGTGGGAAGATTGCGTTAAAGCCGATCTAACGGGACTGAGTTTAGACGGTTAACGGTATAATAAGCGATTAGTGGTGTCAGCATCGAACCTTCGCTAAGCCTTTTATTATTTACTGTGAAAGCTTTGTTTAGCTGTGAAAAATAAATACTAGCTTTTATAGTGACTTTTATTTTTGCAGTTAATGAGGACTCGTGAAGCTGCCTTATGGGAACTAGAAGAACGGCAGATTCATGATAAACATCAATTAGCAAAGAGGCAGTTGAAAGAAGGTTTCTTTTTGCAAAGGCATCAGGTAAGAACAATTAGTTATAAATATTTATATATTATTTGAAATTTACTTAAAACATTCCTTAGAACGTACTATTTATACTCATGCAAGGTGTGTGCCCCCTCATTTCTCTGTACTTGCTCTTTTAACACCAAGGTTTCATAATTGTCTCTCTTTTCTACCCTCCCAAACTATTCAGTGAGAGGATTAAATCAATATTTCAAATAAAATGGTCTAAATTTAAATTACCATTTTTTACACTTGAAAAACAAATGAAATTTATATATCACAAATTCTGGGAGTAGGGTAGCTCAGTGGGTGAGCACTTCCTGAGCTCAAGGACCTTGGTTTAAGTCTGGCTGATGACTAGTAATTGTTCATCAACCCTGGAGTCCGAAAACCCTCCTGGGGCACACCCAGCCTCTATAAAGTTGGTACACTCAATTAAATAATTAATTAAGAGGGAAAACCTGGCGGTTGAGCATGATCTTGACCCAATCACCTCCCTGCTCAACTGTTGGCCTTGTAACAGCACTTCTGGATTTTTACTGTAGTAAATGTAATCTTAATTTTGGTAGTTACTTCATTTTCTATATAGTACATTAAGTGGATTATTATTTTATTTATTTTACAGATCCAGAGCCATCCTTTGTGCTTATGTAGGTAAAGTTAAAAAGATTTCAGATGGTCTTTTGATTTTTGTGGATACAATGTTCGTCCAGCACTTTGTATACTCTGTCCTATTAAACAACTTTGTGATGTTTCTTTAAATCTCATTTTTGATTACATGTTTTTTTTTCAGACTGAATGCTAATTTTCTTCTAACATATACTGCATTACTTCTTTTCAAAGTAATATGAATTGATGAAATAATCTATTTTCAGATGTTGAATAGGCATGACAAAGAGCTAGAGCATATGAAAAGAATGAATCAACGAAAAGAAGAAGAACTGATAAAAAGGCAAGCAATAGAAAAAAGGGCTCATCCTAAGAGGATAAAATCTGAAATGAAAGCAAGGGAAATGATGTTCAGAGAAAGTATGAGGATTCGTATGGCCAACTCTACTGATCCTGAACAGGAAAGAAACAACTTGAAAAAGGTATTATTTATTATTTATTCAATTTCAGGAAAGAAATACCATCACTATTGAAGCAATAAAATGTATCTAAATTTTTAACCATTTGATATATGCTTGCTTATCTTTTCTTTTTTTTTTGGCAAATATTCTTAAAGTAATCTTAAGTGATTATTTATGCCATGCTGACTAAAAGATTTGTTTTTCCAGTTTCAAGAAAATGAAAAGAAAAGGTATAGATTAGAAACCCAAAGGTTTGATCAAAAACACCAGAGGCAGTTAGAGGAGCTAAGAGCCACTGCTGAAACAACAATTAAAGAATTGGAGCAGCTTCAGAATGAGAAAAGTAAGCATTTTGCTATCGTTTATTTATTCATTTTTTTTTTTAACGGTAACTTAATTTTAAAAGTACAGTCTCATCCATGTATCATGCTAAAAAGAAAATGTCAGTTCTTTGTAGGGCATAATGATATTAATTATTAATAATTGGGTGTTTAAAAAAAGATGACCGTTTTTCAACCAAATATTTGTATTATTATTTCTTCTTTGATATGAAAAACAATTGACACCAAGTATAGCTCATTGTGATTTACTGTCATTGGCCATCTGGTAGCCAATTGCTCGATCTCACGCTGATACCATTCTTTGGGATGGCTATCAAAGAACTCTTGGACCGCAATTTCAACTTCCACAAAATTATCAATTTTTTTCTCTTGAAGAAAATGGGCCATGGATCTAAATAAGTAGTAATCCAATGGTGCGAGGTCTGCACTATATGTTGGATGAGGTAGGAGTTCGAATGAAGTTCTTTAAATTTTTCTTAGGTTTGACGGAAAGTGTGAGGATGAGCATTATCTTGTTGGAACAAAATTCCTTTTCGGTTGATTAAAGCAGGATAACGCTCTGACAACTTCACGTACAATCTTTCCAGTTGTTCGCAGTAGAGTTCAGAATTAATGTGCATCCATCAGGAACAAATTTTTTATGAATAACATCTTCAACATTAAAAAAAACGCAAAGTATGGATTTTATTTATTTTTTCTAATTATCCCCTTGCAGCAACCAGAAAAGCAGTTCGACCGTAATCTTGCCATTTCTCACAGTTCAGTTATTCAGATTTCATTATTAAACTCACTTTTTATCTCAGGTGACAATCTTCTGGTTAAATCTCATAGCAGAAGGGATTTTAATAAATTTTCACAAATTTCTAGCCTGTTTGCTGATAGCTGAAGAGTAAGTTCGTGAGGGACCAGTATACTGCTCTTTTTCACCTTCCCCATGCAGATTAGATGGTAACTTCGACAAATCGCATTCCCTGGCAAGTTTGTGAGTACTTGTGGAGAGATTTGACTCAACAGCTTCCTGCAGAACCTCATCAATATCCATTAATGGTCACTCAGAGTCCTTCCTTTCCAACACTGTAAATCCACTGCTAAATTTTTCATACCAATGCCGTGCAGTGCACTGGTCAAAGACATCTTCCCCTTCATATTTAATAGTTTCGCGAGTAGCCTCAGCAGCTGTAAAAAAAATTTTCCAGTAATGACTTTAAAATTAAGTAAATTTCGTTGGACACTTTCATGTTTCTTCTTTGAAACAAATAACTAAACTGAGGCTTTTTTGAAGAAGTCGATTGAGATTAAGCAAGCTTAGAGAATGCTTTAAAGAGATTATTAAGTATTAAATAGGATTAAAATATTTACAATCCTTTGAAATCTTGAATTTGATGAAATGGTCATTTTGTTTTTTATACATCCTATTATTAATTACTAATAAATAACTGCTGGTTTTTAACCTGATTACCATTTTTGTGATGGAACCAGGCTCTCTAATACCAAGGAGATTTTAACGCTTTTGATCAGGTCTTATCAAATTATAATAAATATTTCTCTTCTTCTTCGATAGCTCTCCAGATGTCCCTGTCCTTAGCCTTTTCCCTCCAGTTTGTAACTCTTAACCACCTGAGGTCGTCCTCCACATCCTCCAACCACGTTCTTCTCGTCCTTCCCCTTCCTCTGACACCATAAATTCTTCCTTTGAGCATCTTTTTTGAGATTCTCTCATCTGGCATTCTTAGAACGTGCTCCAACCATTCGATCCGCTGTGATTTTATAAAGTTCACAATTTCATTATGATTGAATAAATCTTATAGTTCCTTATTGGTTCTAATCCTCCATGCTTGAGTTGTTTCATTGTACAAGGGGCCAAATATTTTTCTCAGAATCTTTTTCTCGAAGACCCTTAACAAATTTGTCATGGTGGCAGTAATCGTCCATGTTTCTGCTGCGTAAGTAAGTATGGGTCTTATTAAGATAGTGTATAGCCTTATTTTCGTTTATCTTGATATCAAGGATGATTTAAAAAACTTTAAATTCGCGAATAATAAATAAATAAGTATTTGTTTATGCTTATAACTGGAAAGTTAGTCATTTATTATTCTTATTTACATAGGGAAAATGCTCATGGAGCATGAAACAATGAAGCTGAAGGAGCAAGAAGAAGCCTACAGCCGAGAGCTGAAGGAATGGAAAGCTCAGCTTAAACCAAGGAAGCAGGTCAGAACTTGAAATTGTTTTGTCTATTCTAAATTTTAGTTACTTTTAGGCACAACTTAATGAATGGATTTTTGTATTCAATAATCATTCTCTTTTTCTTCTATCCAATCCATTTTTTTTTTTTTTTTTTTTAAATTTAATCTGTATAATTGAATTGACTTGTGTTAAAAGTCTGTTAGTATTGTTTTGTTTTTTTCAAAAGTATGTATTTAAATAATTCAGATGACAATTATTATTAACATGGCTTTGGGGCTGTTCAACAGGTAAGCCATTACTACTAATTGGAGCCTAAATCTCAAGATAAATGTTAATAGTAGTGTTTAGTGGTTGGAAAAACATAGAGGAATATCTTTGGTAACTTTTACTTAGTTAACAACGTCAAATAAGGTTCAAATTTATAAAATAGTCCTCCATCAACAGAAATTAATTTCTTCTCAAAATAAGGTAGTAAGTTATGTGTTGCGTACACCACCCAAATGTTTTGTATATACATCCAAATATATTATTCCGCATGAAAATAATGAAAAATAGCTATTGTGTTTATCAATATTTTTCAAGGATTCTTGAAATGCAATATGTAGAGAAGATTGACTGTATATCGTAATTCTAAAGTTTATTTCTATTGCATTATATACCAGAATTGGTTGCATGCCTTCATTGTACTAGTTCCAAGGTAGAAAAATAAATATAAACAATATTTCTGCATGTCTGTTACCACTCTTATAGTTATTAATAATTGGAGTGGCTTCATATCAAGTATAGATGGACATCTGTCATTTTCAAAATGTTGATAAAAGGCCAATTTTTGTTTTATAACTTCAACTTCAACCAATTCTGATTTTTTTTTTCATACAAATTTCTTTAATTATTTTTAAAAAATCATAGAATTGGCTCTTGTCAACTTTTTATAAATGATAGTTTGCCTTTGATATGAAGCAGGTCACTTCATTATTTTATTTAGCTCTATATTTTGAATAAATCTTTATTATTTCCTTCTAACGTAAGTAAATGAAGTAATTAATTTTCAGCTTGTTATTTATATCATTCGTATATCGTATATTCGTTATATCATATATATATATATATATATATATATATATATATATATATATGTATATATATAGTAACTCTATGCAGGAAGAATTTGTTGGCAAAAGTTTACATACACCGTGCGACTTCGCATATTATATATATATATATATATATATATTATGTTTAGATTTTATCTATGCTATGCTTTTTTTTATAAAATTAAAGAAAACAACATAAAATAAGAAATAGAACTAAAGCTCTACAACACTTGTTTATATGGAAATAAATTTTTTCGGTTGGCGCTACAGACCATGAAGATCTTTGACCGCGAGTGTGGTCTCCTAGACCACATCCCGATTCCCGATTTAAAATACGGGGTAGGGTCACCAATCCTATGCCCGGTCGGTGTAAGTTGCCTCCAGTAGGCTGACAGGGCTCACATACACTGGGAGAGGGGGGAATCTCGGGCAGTGTGGCTTTCCTTGGTGGACGGCCACCCATCCAAACGCTCGGCGTTGCTTAACTTTGATTACATATTGCAAGTGCCTTGGAAGGTGCTATCCCTATATATATAAATTGTCCGATTGCGAGGATTTTTTTTTAGGGAAAAGCGTGTAATTTTTCAGTTATTCGCAAATAAAGTTTACTTTCTTTCATAACTTGTTTGCCTGAATTTTCTGGGTGATTGGACTATTTTGCCAGCCTGAAGGAGAAGGAAGCCTTCGAAATTGGTGGCTCAATCTTGAGATTTGGTGAAAAATTAACGATGATATGGCTTGTCGATCAAAAACACCATCGATGAATAATAAAAACTCCCCCTCTCTCGATCATAGAGACCTCAAGTAGACGAAATGAGACATGTATTCAATGACAGTACTACAATTAATGTAAGGTTGTGTGGATGCTTGCTTTATCTTGAAAATAGTACGTTTTTCGGCTTAAAAACGCAGGATCCAATAGTTCCAAAGGAACTATCCGGCTCTTGCTGTACGCATCAAAATCTTTAAGATCCAATTTGTCACGTATCGATCTACAGACCTACCACCGTTCCAGTATCAAAGCCTAGCAAAATGTTTGTATCGACTTTATTTATTTTAGAAAGAAAAACAAAAGTGGAGAATACGATTCGCTAACTAACGATAGCAATATATAAAGTTTAAATAATAAAACTATACATAATCATATATTATCAGGATACTAGGATATATATATATAACAAACATTTAACAAAAACATATAACTTCACTCAGTTCTATGATTCGGGTTTGGATTTAATTTTAGGTCTATCTTAGAAATAAAGTTTAACAGCTCAATTTTATATTTTGATGATATAATAATTACAGGTGGTTAATTCAGGTAGCTATTTTTAATAATCCATTGCAGAGCAGCTGAAATTTAAATAAACCTATCGTTAGCTAAAGCCAAGACTCGGCAACAAATTTTTAAATGTTTAATGATCGATAATACTTTTAAAGTATAAATTTTAATAGTTTCCCTCTAACATGTGTCATATGTTCACTATTATCTCTTATTATTGGGAAGTAAATGTTCTTGTCCATAAGCATACTTTCAGAGATAATATAATATTTTCCATCTATTAAATTTTTGCTGATTATTTTGTTTTAAATTTGAAAAATATTTTATTGTTTTAATGTCAGCTAGTCTTAAATATTTTAATACTTAATATAGAAAATATTTTAACAAAACTAGTCTTAAAGTCAGTAGTTTGATTCATTTTTGTAGCATGTTAATAAGTCGACACATTGGTGTCATGGTATTTTTCATGATTGTGGTGTAAATAGCCAATTTAATTTAATCATATTATATTATTACGATTTTTTTTTTTTTATAGGAATATTTTTTGTTTTGTTATCTAATTAAAGATCTTGAATTTTCTGTCAGTTGGCTTATTATGTTCACCACAGGCATGCTAATAATGATATATAAGTTTCCTGTTCATGTAAGCCAAATTTGATTTTTTAGTCTTTTTCTTCTGGTATTTATTATATACTAGGAATTTCATCATTGCTGTATAAGTATAACAAGTTTAAAATTACAAGATAACTCATTGTTGGCATGCTAAGCTATATAACACAAACTAAGAAATCTCATAGCCAGCAGTCAACATGTAAAACTAATTGGAAGCATTTTCAACTGAAACTCAATGCTTTATGCACTCTGATTTAATGTTTCTAAGACAAAAGTTAGCAAATACTTTCAATTGTATTCCATAATAATTTTTTTTTAACATCATTGAGAGCTGTCCTTAAATTAGCAACTACAATCAGTTGCCTATTTTCGGTTCAACCAAAATTTCCCGTTCAAGGTTTGCTTCACTTATATAAGATAACAAGCCATTCTGGGGATTCATTAGGTTTTGAATTGTAATCAAAAGTGTAACTTTTAGCAATCTGGGAAAGGTTAATGAGATATTATGTAATGTATGACATATGAATTTATTAATGCTGCACTTAGTTTTGCCTTGAGGAATTCGTTTTACATTTGTCATGTTTTAAATTTTTTTTCATTTTTTTTTTTTATTGTGCTTTAGGAGTAACATCACAACCAAGATAATACAAAAGAAGTTTTTGTCATTTTTCTTTATATTATAATAGGTTATATGGAAAATGAGACAATAGGTATAGGAGATAATTAGGCGATTGCTTAGTAATCACTTGAGCAATATCTAAGAGATTCAGAATAAATTGTCCTACCTGTTTTAAGGTAATAAATGTGGTGCTTTGCAGGACATAAATGATGTCTATAGAACTTATTTACAAAATTTGAGGTTGCTTAAGTAATTCGCTGAGCATAAAAGCACTTGTATACTACTCTAGGTCCAATTATTAGAAAATGCTAATCTATTTCAAGGGGCAGATTTGGATGTTTAACAGTGTTATTGGCTATTAAGACTAACAAATAACAAGAAGTCCCTTAAACAATTAAGGTATACTCTACACTGATTTCTTTAATGCACAGCTCATTAGAACTCTGGACATTGGCCCATTTTGTTCGAAGTTACCTATTTATTATAGTATATTTGCTGAAATACTGAGAAATTGAGAAGGAGAGGGGGGAATAATCCATGATCTGAAGAAAACAAAACTTAGCATAATATAGTCGCTAACAAGCACTCATCGGATAGTTTCAAAAAAGACAAATTCTACTTATTTTAAAAAAATATTTTTTCTAATCAGAAATGCTGTAATTAGAAGCTACCTAATGTAAGAAGTATTTTAGCTATCGCTTCTTATTCAACAAAAACTGGGAAAACATTTTTTAAAAAAACACAAAATTTAATAAGAATCATGGATAAGTGAATCATAACTAGATTTTAGAAAGCACATCATTAGGAGCACATAATAATTTCCTTTTACATGTCACTAGTCAACGTTTTCACTTATAGACTGCTCTAGTTAAAAGTTTAAAAATAGTTATTACAAAATATGTGTTCTGTAACATTTTGACTGATAAAAATTGAAAATTAGGAAGTGAAAACTACACTCACTATTCTGTATAGTTTAATAAATTATTTATTATTTTTTTTTTTTTTATAGATATTTTTTTATCATAATTTCTTTTTAAGAAAGTGAATTAGTGGTTAGTTATAATATAATAATGTTGCAGCAACTCGAGTTAGAGTTCAGTTGTGCCCTGCAGCGGCATGAAGAGAAGCATGGTTACTTTACTGGAAAACTCCTAACATCCTCTCCTGTTAGCAATGCCTCAGAATCATCTGTCCTTCTTCACCACGCTCGACGATCCTCCTTACCCTCCTCTCAGTTCAACCAATTCACTATCCCCAGGCCTCGCCTCAATACTGTTTCTGTTTCCAAGCCTCCTTCACCTGTTCCATTTGAACAATCATTCTAACCTTGCTGCATAAGGGTATATGTTACATCATGAAAAGTTTTGTTATTATGTGTATCCATTTCTATTTATGTATGCATTTAGTATGTACTGGTGCTTCTTTTGTAAAATATGTGGTATCAAGAACAAGCTTCCGTTTATTTTCCTCTTTATTTAATAGGAACCTTAATAGCAAATCGATGAAAGAAGACTTGTATAAAAGATTTCATTATATAACTGGTAACATATTATAATTATAATTCATAACTTTTTGCTTTACTCTTATAGTTTAACGTACTATAATCAGTTGTTTTTTTTTTCTAATATATTGTGAACTTTCAAATCACATATTTATCTCTTATTATGGATTTCTTTTTTTTATTTTATTTAAATTAACATTTTTACTGTTCAACAGTGTTTATTAAATCCTGAAGAGTTATAACACTATCCAAAAGAATTATGCTCACTGTTGTTGAATACTTTTCTGTTGCATCTTTAATTCTTTATTTGATTAATGGTTTCAAAAATTTTCTGTCGCTTATGAAACTTTATAACATTTTTGTAAACTAAATCAGTCGTATCATAAACCTTTTATTTTATTTGAGCATTAATGAATTTCTGTCATTTAACTGTTTTGATTTTTATGAATATTGAACTACTTTAATGGTTACCTTTACCAAACATACAGAGCTTATGGTATTTTTATTCAAAAATTGATTTTGATCGGAATAGTTTTGTTGTTATTAAGCTAACCTAGTATTTATCATAAAATGTTAGGATAAGACTTATATTATTATTTCGCCAGTGCTGAAAAATATTGCTTTTGTGTATATATACTGCTTAAATATTTGATTATATTATGAATTTTAGTTTTTATTGTTTGAATGACTATTGAAGTTTATAAGTTATTTGATAGATAAGTTCTGTCCTGTTATGTGTGCATATGAAGGTGGAGGGTTTCACTCAACTTATGTCATTTATCTGTACTCAGGCACATGTTTATGTATATTTATACATATAAAGTAATCCTATTTTCTCTTTAAAGATTCTGATCTTATGTTGGAAGGATAAAAGATGCTATCTAATGTTCATCATCTTTTGCAATTATTGAGGTTCGCTCTAGGTACCTACATGTATCAATCGTATCGGTGGGACTCCATCTGATTTTCCACCAATAAACTTATATAGTCATTCGTTTCTAATTATTTTTTGTATAGCTCAGTTTTATGTTCTGTTATATCTTTTGACTTCCTGTTTTTATGGTTTAAAAAGAAAAAATTACCGCTAAATGTTATATTTTTAGACTTTATTTATTTTTTCTAGGTGATTATCAGCAAAAGATATGTTAGTATTAACAGCTATGTTAGTATTAACAGCTATGTTAGGTCAGTTCCTAAAAATTTTGAACGAATTGTTAACAGTTAGGTTGGTGTTTATAGAAACATAATTTTTCTCCCTAAGTTGTTTCAAACCTTAGCCATTGTTTTGTGTTGTGATTAATACTTTTTTATTGGTTCCCAACCTTTAGTGAAAACTAACAACTAGATAAGGATTGTAATATGTAATTGAACTAATTCTTTCTCATACAAACAAGTTACTAAATAATAATAAATATGTTTACAATATATAACAATTAGTACATAATCATTGTCTCATTTTTAGTGAAGGAAAAGACTTCTGTAGGAAAATCAATGATGTTATAATCCTTTAATACTCTAGATTTTTCAATTAAAAAACAAAAAAATCAATTTGCTTTAGTTTAGAAAAGTCAATATTTCGAATCATTCAAACTCGTAATTATTGTTAATATTTTATATTCTTTCCCATTCAATTCAACATATTTTGTTCTGTAATATTACCTTCATATAAGAGTTTTATGGTTGTATTGGCTGTAGATTAGAAAAATTTTCAAACTGACATGGGGACAATAAAAAAAACTAAACAGAAGTAAATAAAATAAGCAAAACGTTAAAAAATAATAAGAAGAAAATAAGGTCCATTTCCCCCATTATTTTGTAGTTTCATAGCCTAATTTTGTTGATTTGTTCGCTCATTCAGTTAATTTTGAAATTTTAATCTCTTCAGTTTTGTTATAAGCATTTTTAATTTTATTTGTGTTAATATGGTTTAACTGTTTGTAAATTTGAAATTAGTGATACTTAAATTTTCATAAAATATTTGCAGCACCATAATGTTAACAAAGCATGAAGTTTGGAAAATTAATGTTATATTTTTAATTTTATGATTATATATTTTTTTGTTTGTGTGAAGTGACTATCTGTGCCTTTTCATTCATAAATGAAAATTCTTTACTGTTCCTCTTAACTCATTTTGCTTAAAATGTGTTTTTTGACGTAATAATGCATTTATGCTTGACATATATTTTCTTTATCATTTATGTTAATGTTACTTCCAATTTATTGCCATAAAAAGCTGTTTGCATGCTGTTCGTTGGTCTATGTTTATTATTGGTACTTTTTGCTGCTTACTTTTTTTTTTTTCCTTTAAAACTTATTTTCCCTATCTTCCTTGGAATTTTCATTTTTAATGTCTACGCTTCATGCGGATTTGGAATTCTTCAGCATGTGAGTTAATTTATTTAAAAATTTTATGATCTGATCTATTTTATTCATTTCTTATTACTCTAATTATCTCACGAAATAGGTTTTTTATTGGTCATAAATTATGGCATTAGGTTTATATTTTTTATTTATTATAGTGATTTCTCTAAACTGCTCATTCTTAATTGATTAAGGACCAAATAATTTTTATACGTTGCAGCAGTCAAAATTTGTTCTTTAAAAAATTTAACAATATTCTATAATAATGTATGATTCATTAACAATTTTTGTGTCATTTTAATTTTTCTTTTCAGCAGAAAAAAATTTAAATCTACTGTGTTGATTTAAGATCGAGAGAAAACAGAATATTAATTTTCTTTTAAGAAAAAATCAAATGAAAGTTGGTTCCTCACACATTGGTGTGTTTATATTTTCATTGTTTAAAAATTAAATTTGATCTTGCATTGTAAATTTATACCAATAAATCTGTGTATAAGATAAGACATACATTCCATCATAACTACAATTTCCATAAAAGTGAAAAAAAAAATCCACAAAGATTATTAAATGGTATTTCAGACGATTTATGTAAATTTATTAATGACCAGAAATGAAAGAATATTTGTCTGTAAATATATCCTGAAATGATGAAACCATGGTTTTTTGATGATACATTAATAAATGAAAAAAATTATTTTTGTTTTTTTAAATTCAATTGGGGATTAAAAGAAATTATTTTTTAAACTTTCAAACCAAAACAGGTGGCAATTTTTTTAAATACTTGAATAATTATTTTCTTATTTTATGCTGAATCACGTATCCATTTTGTTCATATTTATCGTTGTAAGGTTATTTGTAGATTATTCACATGTTTTTTGTGCTTAACAATAGTAAAACAATAATGTGTTTTTACTATTTCTAATTTTTTTTTTTTATTGTTATTCATCTTAAACATTGTCCTTTAGGAGCAAAACACAGCTTCTCCCCTTCTCATTGCATTTAGCTCTGATGATAATTTTATGTATGGTTTGAAACTTTTGCTTAAAAATTATTAAAACTAAATTATGGTAGCTTATTTTTGTTTAAAAAATATTTATTTTATATTCTTTAAATATTACTGCAGTTGCGTTAGCATCAAAGAGTTGTCCATTTTTTTAATTTATATGGTATCCATCGTATTGAAGTATATATTTTTTATTTTTATCTTTTCAGAGGCTAGAAGAGCAATTTGCTCAACAGTTAGAAGAACAAGAGGCCATATACGGGCCTTCTCACCCACTCCCTCCTGATTTAGCCGAACCTGTACATCACAGAAGTTCAACAAGGAGCAGCTTATCATCAGTATCTGCTGATTAATATCTCATGTTGGACAGTTTTTTATCTTAGTCCCCAGATACCTGTTTTATCCTTCAGGAAATCAATTTTTTTTTTTTTTTTAAAAATTATATTTTTCTATTAGTTTTAGGTGTTCATGTGTTATAGCATAACTATGTACAGATTACCTATAAATTCTGTTTTATGTTTTAAGTTATTAATCGTTATAAATTTGTTATGAGTGTACATGAAATGTATTGCACGTAGACCAATAGCTTGCAGGAATATAAACTTGGCCTTTGAAGGTTCAGGTTTATAAATTGCTCAATTATCACTTGACCTTATATTTTGTAATAAAATATTCTTAGTTCTTAGCATTACTGAAATGAAAATTTTTTAACATAAACCGTTAAGCATGGTATCCAGAATAATCAAATTACTACATATCATTGGTAAAAAGTAGATCATCAGAGATCATTTGTTAAATTTTCAACTTGTAATAAATTTGTCATAGATTGTGCACCATACATATTTCTATTGTAAAATATACCGTATAAAAAGTTTGTACATTTAATGTAAATATTAACTGTATTAATTATGTACAGTGGTATAGTTATCGTTTTTATCAATAACATACAGCGTATGTTTAATATTTTGGGGGTTTCTTGTATTATGAGATATCAGTATTTTCTTATCCTTTATAAAGAAAAAAAAAATCAAGTGCCAAACGACTTTTGATCGAATCAGATATATTTGTGACTGAAACAGCTGTAATGAAGAGGCTGTTATATGAAATGCTGTAGATTTAGGTATATCGTCTTTGTTAATATTTATCATAGTATATAATGTTGTTATCAGGGCATATTTACTTGATAATTTTTGGTAAAAAAACTATCTTAATGCTCCGTTTGTAAATGGTTTCGGTTATTTTATATACATATTTATGTTATATATACATATATACATAATATTTATTATCCTATGTATAATATTAACACATTAGTTTGTTCTTCTCTAGCCTCTATAAATAATAAGCAATCGTGTATAGTCAAAGTTGTTGCACTTTACAGAATTCATTGGCTGTTGAAATGGGCTAACCATTTTATTTTTTAAGTTGCTCATTTTTAATTTATTATTTAATGTGATCAATCGTTTTAATAAATAATTGTTTCTAGTGGACAGAGCTGTTATTGAATTAACTTGTTTTTTTGACATAATATAAATTTGTAGATAAGACTGTTGAAGATTATAACATATTTTTAAATATTTCATTCTTTTTTTTTCTTATTTTATTATTGCTTTAAAAAAAAAAAAAACAGACAATGAAGTTTTAGGTGTATATAAGTGAATATATCTAGTACAATTAATCAACTAATTGTATGTAAATAAGAATTTGTTCAAATAAAACATACTTATAAAATGTTTTTATTCAAGAAACTTTGGTATTGTATAAGACACATTCTGTTCACTGTTTTTTATAATAACACTGTTCATTACGTATTACCCATATAATTTAAATCCTTATATTATACTCTTGGAAAATTATGTAGCTTACTAAGTCGTGAAGTGGCTGGTTTCTACCTTCAATGAAATTGGTATAAATTCTGACTTAGTTTCTCTTGAAAAAATAAAGTGGTCACTGTCAGTGTGAGGTTACTGTGGTTCAGCTCCTATGAAAAAAATAGTTGTGTCAGACTTTTGGAGCTTAATTATTCTTTTAATATTTTTGGCTTATTTATTGAACATAATTAGAATCACTATACTTTTTTAAAACGGGAACTGTTTGTTCTAATTATCATGCATGTATGCTCGCTCAATATTCTATAAAGAAATATTGTCAAAAACTGTGCCTGTAAATATGCGGTAATGGCATTGACATATTACTATTTATTGTACTGTAGTTTTACCTAAATGAAAAAATAAGTATATATAAAATCTATTGTTAGTGGGTGCAGTTTCAATTAAATATTAACTTCTATGAAGTTTTATAAGTACTTATTTAGTAGCGGGTAGCATCCGACTGCTATCTGCCAATGTTTATAACCTTAACACTGATAAGCTCTTCGTATTCATTTTTATTATATTATATTCATATTATTATATCTTCGTATTCATATTTATTGTATTGTATTGATATTATTGAAATTGTGAACAAAAACAGAAACAAATGTAATAATAAAAAAATACTTTTATTTTACAACGTATATATTAAAATACACCAAAACATTATAAATATATAATTAAAAAACATTGCAACATATATATCAAAATAAATGAAAGAATAAAAATAGGCAAAAAATAGATGAAATAAAAAAAAAACTACTTAAACAGCATATGTATATACATATAAAAGAAACACTATGAAGAAACGATATAAACAAAATATGAACAATTTTATTTTGGTAGGGAAAATAGTTTTATGGTATTTTAAATAGCGAGGAAGGGATCCTGTTCTCTATGCGCCCGCCGCCACAAAAACTCATATAAATATGAATCCAGGTGTTGTCTGGCAGTTCCTCTGTGTTTTTTATTTCTCCACTTAGCTGAGTCCCATAATCGTTCAATGTGTTAAGTATGGACTCCACTTGATAAATCAACAAAATTATACCTGTGATTCACCTGAAAAAGATTGTAGTTTGTTTCATTGAGTTCGTTGGTGTTGTATCCTTTCCAACAGTCGGAATAAATATTGCTTCCCTCTTCTACATTGTTTTTAATAATAATAGTACTTTATTTATCTGGGACAAGTCCCTTTAGAATAATACATTAGGACAGTAATGTGGGCTAAGGAGCCTCAGAGATACATAAAAAGAAATGTTCAGTAATAAAATAGTCATATTAAAAATTATATGTTACTTTCTAACTTAAATAAGTTAATAATAAAAAAATTTAAAATAAAGCAAAAATAATGAAGAACAATCTAATAATTTATATACATATTTTCAATGGTATCTATTTATGATTTTATGGGGACTGGATGGATAAGAAATGATTGAACATGCGGGATTTAAAGATAGGAAGGATATTAGATTGACGGATGTGGGAGGGGATGGAGTTCTAATGGCTCTAATAAGTTTTTTATGGCAAACTTCTAATAAAGTTGTTGCTTTTCTATCGTTTACTTTGACGATAAAACACTCGTCTGTTTCTCGGCAAACCGCCAAACATCCATTGCTCAGGTAGGACTCTCTCCACATGATTTTTTCTCTTCGAAAAAAGACTCGACGACTTTGCCAGGCCCTCCAATTTTTTTATTCAACCTGTCATGGGCACAAACTTCTCTTAAAAATTTGTTCCATGCTACAACAGTTGCGATGGATAATTTGAGCTGCTCTTTTCCCCACTGTATTGTAGTTAAATTATGGGACCACTCATAAGTGAATTTTAAAGCCATTAAAAAAGAAATCCTCGACCTCTGCAACCATGTTCCTTTCCTTATAGAAACGGTTTTGTTACAATTACGGAAGTATGTCCATTTAATCTTCCCATCGAACTTCATTTTTATGACCTTCGTCGCAATATTTGGCCTTTGTAAATATCCCGGCGTCTTGAAAATATTTTATAGCTTATTCTTCTGAAGACGACAATTCTCACAATGTTACAACATCCATAATTAAATAACATTAACTCACAGCTAACACAAGAAACAAAAAATAAACAAGGGAGTAACTTAGCTTAGATGAGATAAGGGAGGTTTTGATGCTGCCCGCTATTAAATAAGTACCGTTCTATATTCTAATATAATATTGCGAGTAATTTAAAAAGATAATTAATTGATGAGTATCCTCCCAAATATCAAGAAAAACCTTATGTATCTAAATTAGTACAAAAACTATTTATGAATCATTTATTATGAAGTTATGCTTAGAACTCAGTATAAACAAATTAAAATTATAAGCCATGATTAAAATAACAACTAAATGGCTCCTAGCTGATGAGGTAATTTTAACTTTCTTACATCTTTATTATATACTTAAAGTATCTGAACCAAATACATTAGTTAGAGCTTCGGAAATACTAGAAAGCAGAATACATAAAAAAAAAATACATTTTTTAAGGGATTCCAGCTCAGGATTAAATCTTCAGAAATGTAGAATTCATTGCTATTAACTGCAAAAATCTCAAAGAAAATTAGTAGTTGATATGGGTGACAACTACTCAAAACGTTATGAGATATACCAGTAGTTGACTCCCATTTCGGTCTCCCAAAATGTTTTCTGGAGCTTGGAAGAAATGCTAGTTATATAAATTAATCCTTTAATCAGAATTAAAATGATACAAAATGGTAAAATAATTTTGTTCATCTACCTTAGTTTGTAGAATAAGTGCAGTACCAGCACTCCTACTGCACTAGGCAAACAAAAGCAACCTCTCCTATCATACTGAGTTTCAACAGGAAATATGGGACACATATGACTTTTTATTATTCCCACTGTAATTCATAATTTTACTTTATTTGAACCGTTTTGATGCGCAAAGCCAATATAATGCCTCGGGCCAGCTGTGACACCAGCCTGCAATGCTAATATAGTGGCTCTAGAAAGACCATATCCCTGGCGTGCAGAGCCAATATATTTGCTTCAGCTTTTTATTGTTCAGTTGTGCTAAACCCATACTCCGTCTCCTATACCGGGTACCCCATGGGTCATAGGTTGTCTGCTTCCCTCCCTATATCACCTTTCTCTAGTCTTTTGAACACAGTTTAGCTCTAAAGCTAACAGGAGTGGTAGTTTTTTGAAATGTGAAGCTTGAATATGAGTTTTAAAATTTTTTAAATTGAATTTTGTAATGAAATATTTCATACAATATAACTTTTTTTTTAATTTTTCCATATCAAACATTATATCAGAAATTGGTTAATAATAAAAAAAATTGAAAATTTGAAATGAAGAATAAAAAAATAATGGTGCTATATGTAGTAAACAAAATATATTAGAATATAACAAAAAGTAATGTAAGACTATTAATAAATTATAAATTTAAAAGAAAGTTTAAAAATAAAGTAATGTAAGGCAATCAATAAATTATAGAATTAAAAGAAGATTAAAATGAAAATTTAAAAAAAAAGTTAACCATTTATTCAAATATGAGCTATAATATTAAAGTAAATGTATAAGTCAGTTATAAAAAAAAAAAGGATATTTTAAAGTGAAAAGTGCAAAGACGGCAGTAATGCTGTGAAAAACTCGCTGCACAGATAGTTGGCTAGACCTTTCCCCCCTACGCTGGACCAGGCCTTGATTCAGGCTCAGCGTAACTGAAAGGTTAAAGCTTTTAACTAATATTAATAATCACATTTCAAACAAAGTGTTATTGAACTAACCAAACTTTAGAATGCATTGTAGTTAATGCTGTAAATAAATTAAAATACTGCAGAAACACTAAGAATTTGAAAAATTTAAATGTACAACTACTGGTGCATTTAAATTACTTTCTTACCACTATTAAATAAAGACAGTTGTAATTAGGTAAAAATTTTGATTTTCAGTTTTAAATTTATCTATTTATTGCAGACTGTGCCATGATTATCTCTTTAACAGATAAACCAATTTTTTCACTTCTTTTTTTTTTTTGCTTTGTATTAAATCAGGTATTCTGTGTGAAATACCTGTTTTTCCATGGGCTGCTGAATACCAGTCATTCGGTTCTAATGGTTTTGAAGAAACTTGCTTTATGTCTTTTTTCCAAAGCCCTTTAGATTTTCACATATAATAGATACCAAGAAACTCAAAAAGTATAAATTATTTTATTGACTATACAGGTTCTTTCAGGGTTGTGTCCTAACTAAAAATATGAATTAAGGATCTCAAAACTAGAAAACAAATTGGGCCTCCATGCTCCACAGATTTTACACCACTGAATTCTTTTTTGTTTGTGATTATGTTAAGCAAATAATGTATGCAAACCCAATAAATAATCTTAATTTTTTTACAAAGAAGGATAATTGAAACAATAACGTATATCCGGTGCCGTTCAGCCACTGGTATTACAGAAGAGAGGCCAAAACTGTCATAATGCTCAAGGTAATGTAATCTCTTTCAACAATATTTTATATGAATGTTAATGTTTACATTTTATTAATAAAGTAGTTGGAACACATATTAATTTATTTATTATAACCTAATTAATCCATAATAATGAAAATCTTTAGACATAAATATCTCATAAATGAAATTTTAAGACATAACATCAAAAGAAATTTTTTTCTTGTTTTGAGATTCTTAATTCATATTTTCAGTTATGAAACAACCCTGTATATCTATAATTTAGATGGTAATAAAATTTCTTACCAAATAAAACAAAAATTGAAATCCGATCAGTATTGGCAAACCTTTGTACATATTTTAAAAAATATTTTGCTCAGGTCTTCATGTAAACTTACTTTAATCTTAGTTTAGTTTTTTGATAACCCAAAAACTATATATCTCCCAGGTCATTTCAGATGCTTATTTGAATGATATTTATTGTATTCAAAGATAATATATATATCAGTTGAACCAATATCCTCTAACAATTGTTAAATTGGACATTCTCCCAAAAGGTATGGAAGCTTTTGTGAGCAGACACACTAGATATTTTTTATGTATAATTATTAAGAAATAATAATAAAGGAATGATTTGTAGAAATTTTATTTATATTATAAACTATTTCACTTAAAAAACATATATGCATAATACATATTGATGTTAGGCTTTTTTATTTTTCATTTAATTAAATACCGATATGTTTATACTAACAGGTGATGCATATTATCATTCAGCTTCATCCTATTCCTTTGAAGTATGAGATTCCTGTTTTAAAATCCCAGCCTTGGATTATAGAAACTTAGGCTTACGTCTGGGGATGTCAATATGGAGAGAAACTGAATTAGAGCTAAATTTAAAGAAATACTATTCAAATATAAATTAATACACAATGTGTCTTATTTCCTCCTAAATGAAATTTTTATTTTTATTTTTCTGTAAGGAAGGTGAGGCACATGAAGGTTATTGCCCTGGGATGCGAAATTTCTTTGGCTCTCACTACTAATTTCTGAAAAACTTCAATTTTTAAATATCTGAGTACTCGCATGATCAATCTGGAAATGAATAATAATTTATTATGTAAGAAAATTGGATATATGCTTACTCATATAAATTTATTTATTTTACAAATGCATCTACCCCCGTTTAAATTATTTTATACTCTAATTACTAATGTTTAATACATTTTCATTGTATCCACTCATATATTTATTATATATGGTGTCTTAAAGGAATATATAAGCCCTTATATATTTAAGATTTATTCTACTTCAAACGACGTTCCGACCTAATTTCCTCATTCTCAAGTCATCAAAAATTTCTATCTACAAAAATATATGTCTATATTATAACTTCATTAAATATTCATTTTCAGTAAACCGAATATAAAAAATAATACTGCTCTTTCTCATTTTTACGCATTTACTCTAATGCTTGACCATTCCCGAAACTCTGTACTACCTCCTACCTACTTGTACTGAAAATGAATATTTAATGAAATTATAATACAGAAATATATTTTCATAGATACAAATTTTTGATGACTTGAGAATGAGCAAATTAGCTTGAAATAATGTTAGAAGTAGAATAAATCTTTAAAATATAAGAGCTTATATATTCCTTGAAAACACCATATATATGGACATTCAAAAATACTACTCTAGTGGCAAAATATACGCATCATATTTTCTTAATTTTATCTCAAAATTCAGTACTGACTGATAGGTAATACCAAACTTAATCAATCATTGATCATCATGAAAAATGCTATGAGGTTGGTGTTTCAATGGCTAACTGTTCTCAAGGTTTGTTATATTTTTCAATTAATAATTATAAAATGAGACAGTGAAATTAACTTTATTTTATTTTGTTTTTATTAACAGAAAGTTATTGATTTAGCAAGATGTCTTTAATTGTTTATATTAATAAAACCAGAGAAAATTTCTTAATTAAATGCATTTCTTTTCATAACAAATGATAATAATACATACTAAGGATTTGTGTTTCTTCACATATACTGAACATAACTGAAATATGCACTATACATTTTAAATTGAATTCTGAGTATTTTCAAAAAGGTAAATTAAAAAGTAGATATCGTATGAAGTGGCTATTATTTAAGGAGTGTTATTGAGAGTTTCAAGTTCACTCTCCATCAAAAAATGAATTCCATACTTACTCTAGTAATAGCATTATCAGTATATGTAGTAGTGACAGTAAACGTTGAATGTACTACTTTTTTTATTGGAAAAATTTTTATTATTTACAGTCATAATCACAGTTTCCAGTAATTTATTTTATTCTAGGTAGTGTTGGTAATAAGACTGAACAAAAATGGAGACCAAGACTCGGTATAATTAGCGGCGTTCCAGCATTAGCTGGTAAGTGAAAAATAATGATTAATAATTTTAAAAATAAAGCCATTGTTTTTTAAACAGCTATAATCTGTTCCTATAAAGAAATGAATAAGTGTTTTTTGATTTACTAACAAATGAAGCGAAACATTTGTAAGTTATTAATTTTAACTTTGTGAAGTTACATTTTGATGTAACCCTATACAACTCTGTGATAAAAAGTATTAATTCTTAGTAGGTGTAGTTATTTATCTTTTATTACTTTTTGTATATTTGCAACAGCATTGTAACACACATAAAGCAAATATATTGTCGTTTTTATAAAAACAAAATTTTGATGTTTTGATAAATGTTATTCATTTTAAGTTACTGGAGTTCAGTAGGTGTCGAGACCACTGTATTTTTAGTCTTTGTTCAGGGTGACTGGGTAAGAGAGCCGAAGAATGAAATAAAACATATTGATTAGGAAGTGTGAAATTTTGTGTAATCGTTATGTATGTAAAATTTTACTGATGATATTTTCATGTCATACATGGTGTGATTTGAAACATACCAAGGTACATTAATAATTTTTCAGAGAATTTTGGATTCTGTGATGGGTATATTTAACACAAAAATAGTAATAATGATTTTTAAACTGTAATTGAAATAACAAATTAATAATATGAACAATAAATATGAATAAATAATAATATGTAAATTTAATCTAACTTAATCCTATGCTTAACTTAGTGCAAAATTATTTTGGAGGACGCAGTGTGCCATCTCAGATAGAACTTAGATATGTCCTTAAAAAGGTCAAGGGAAAATTCTTATTATCAAATATATGTAATTAATAGTTCTTTATGAACTTTAGATATTTTTTTATTATGAATATGAATATCTGAGCTTAATATCTTTCCATTGCTTTAACAGCTGCAGTGTGTCTTTAATGGTGGCTTGTTTACCAATCAAGTGTGAAAGCTTTCTCCATGTTCTAATATCAAAGACTTATATAGGGTGTCCCCTAAGTAGAAATAAATATTTTTAAGAGTGATAGCAGATCTCAACAGCCGGCGGCTTGACAGTTGAGCGGCTAATCTAAGTTCTGTTTAAAAAAAAAAAAATATTCACAATTTTGTTTTTTATCATTCTTCAACTCAATTTCATTCAATTATACTATAGATATCCCACTTTTAGAAAAACTTCCTCCTTTAAAAAGCCTAAGTCCATATTAATTAAGTTGAGGTTTATTGTGAAAAGTCAGAGATTCGCCTGAAGTAGTGTAAAAAATACTATGTGATTTTATATCCTGTCAGCTAACAGTACCCATGCTTTCAGCAAAAATTACTACAATATTGATAAAAATATTTTATTTCTCGTTTTTCCATGACCTGGGATATATTATAATAAACAAACTTTTCTATTTTAGACAGCAAATATCCCGGAGATTATAAAAAGCATTAAAAAAAAAAAAAAAATTCTTCATTTATTGATCGAAAAACTTAAGCTGTTAGAGTTGGAGCGCGGAATTTTAATATTGGGTTGAAAAACAAGTCATTTCGGTTTTTCATGGTGAAATAATACTCAATGTATTATAGACATAAAGTTATTTTAATCTAAAATATATTTACCATTATTTAATATGACTTTCCCATCTTTCCACTAACTACTTTTAAGTTAAAAAAAATAATCCAAATGGTTTTTGATGTCCTGTTCCTTTCGGAATTTCTTTCCATTCATGGAGTTCTGCAGAAACCGGATTCACTTGGAGCTAGGTCTGGTGAATAGGAAGGCTGGGGCAAAAGATCCTATCCAAGGATCAATAATTTATTGCGAGTGATCAATTAGGTGGTGGGCCCTAGCGTTGTCTTGGTAGAACACAGCACCATTCCGATCATTTATAACTCTTCAGAATGTTCTCCAAATTCGATGTTACTATATGCGTTGGAAAGATAAATTATTGTTATTCAAAGTCGTATGAATGTTTTTGTTTTATTTAACGCCTACATAAGGAATAAATAAACAAAAACTCCTTATAGGTTTTTATTTTTTATCTCCATTTGTAGTTTGTTTACTAAGGTCCGGTTGATGTCATTTTGTGTAGTTTATCTAGCAGTAAATTCCTGCTAAATTTCTTGTAGATAGCTAAAGTCATATTAAAGTTATAATATTTTCTTGTGATTTCCGAAAAAAAATAATGCGAGGAACCCAAACATTAAGTCAGGAAACAGCCGAGCTTGTGCAAACGATTTTTTCCGGTTAAGTGCGACACATTTAGGGCCATAGCAATCTCTCGCACTGGGGTGGGATTTTGATCAACAATGGCCTTAACATTGCTAGTTTCAATTTCATGTGGGCGACCAGACCGTTGAGCATCATTCATATAAAAATTTCCTGAATGAAATTTGGTGAACCAGGTTTTGACAGGTGCGTTCGGTTTAGCCATCATCCCCATAAACACTGCAAATTTTTCTATGATCTTCTGCAACACGCTTACCTTTTTTAAAATAATACAACAAAATATGATGATAATGAATGATATTTTCTTCCATATTCACAGTGCAATAGCAAACACAATACTAAGTTATTTTCAACAAGAGTTAACAGTTGTTGACATATTACAAAACGGGATAAACAATCCACCTTCATGATTAATTCATCAGATAAGAAGTGAATCATAGTGACTTAAAAAAACGTCTGCCAAGTAAAGTCAGTATAGCTTCCTCACCGTTTTCATTTGCTAAAAAATATCTATAGTAAACGGTCTAAAAATTTTCTTATGAGAATAAAATCAATGGAAGAAGCCGTTTTCGGAAATTCAGTAATCCCTCAATATACACGGGCTTGATATCCATGAGTTTTATTTATCAACAAGTATTAAGAACGAAGAAGTTACGCATAAGTTTTTTTTGTTCACAAATTCAGAGTATACATTACAGATTATAGAAATTACATTAAATATACTTAAAATTACACGAAATCTAATTAAGGGCAGTAATTGCCGTGCCAGTAACGTTTGGAATCGAACAAACAATACAGTATAAATTAATTAGTTGAATAAAACCTAAAATTTACAACCCTAAAACAATATTACCTAACTCCCAATACATATGATCAGTGCCTTTCACATTTCATAGCCATTATATTGTTAACAATTAATTATAATTATTAAATGGAATTCAATGAAATTGATACTGAGTAATTTCTATAATGTTCTCTAAATTCTCTCCAAGTTTGAGCCGAATCGAACTTGCGGTTTTAGAGATACAGACGTATCAAGGAAAACTCGTTTCCGCATATATAAGAGAAAGTAATGGACAGTATTTAATCAAATTGACCCTACATTATTTTTTTTTTTTAAATACCTACCTTTTATCTAACTTTGAGCCAAATCGGAGGAGCCGTTTTTGAAATATTGGCATATCTACAAAAATGCGTTTGCGGAAGTGCTTGGTAGAATTTAATAAAATTGATATGGGACCATCTAGACACCAACCCACAAAATCCCTGAAAATTTCATAAAAATCGGATATACGGTAGGAGGTGATATGCTAGTTACATCGATTTGACTACAGACAGACGCCGAACCAAATTTGATCCTTGATGTCTGAAACGTAAAACGCGAGTAGAAATTTTCGATTTTGAGCACAAACTTTTTTTTGACCTCTCACACGAATACAATGCTTCCCCATCTTCGGTATTGGAGAAGCAATAAACAGAAAAACCAAAAGAACTTATTTACCAACTCAATAAGTTTATCTCCATCGTACCCCCAAAAAAATTCCAAAGTCAAATATTTCCCCCTCTTCATGTATCCTACACTTGGCTCGACTAGTTTGTAGTTCGTCACCGTGTAGAGGACTTATTTAAGTAGCTTCCTTGAAAACATAATGGGATAACCAGCAGCACCACAAGTGTGAAATGGACCTGAACGCCTGAATACGAACGCCGAAGATGTGATTTTTAATAGAATTCCTTTGCATTAGATCAAGAAGAAAAAAAACCCATCCATTAAATAATTAATAAAAAAACATTGATCGTTGTTTCCTGCACTTATCTTAGTAATTTAGATAACAATGTCTATCACACTTGATGCACTTATAAGATGGTCCTACATGTTTGTTTATGGAGGATAACGTCATGTTTGTTTCTCTTTTTCTTAATTGTTCTTACAGATGCCGACTATTTGCTTAAGTCTGTGGCTCTCCATATGTTATTTTTATTTAAGGCGTATATATTGCACATCCTATAAGACAGGAGTGCAATAAAAAATTCTGCAAATTATTACTCACTTGTTTATTATTATCAAACAGTTATTTATCAAATGTACTACTTTCCTAATATACTACTGTCACATAGAGGGGAAAAAAATTAAATGTGATTATTAATATTCGTCTAAGTAATTGTGTTCCTTGCAACTATTTATTAAAGACAATGTTTCCACAAAAAAAAGTGAACTCGTTGTCCCAAAATAGCGTCCAAACATGGCGAATTGACGATGTAGACTTGAGTTAAATTTTCGGTCACTGAGATTCAACATTTGACTTAATTACTTCATGATTGGCTTTTTCTTAAAGATTGATAGTCAGAAAATAATAGGAAATAAAAAATATTCATAAACAATTCACAATACATATATGTGTAATATACATGTATAGAGAGAGAGATAGGTATACATAATTAGTGTGTAAAATGAATATGGTATTGTTTGAAAACTACACTTGACAATAGCGGATCCAATACACACCTAGGCAAAAATTATTGTTACAGTTATTTAAAAATTACAGTATTTAAAACACCAATAAAAAAATTATTGTATTATTAAAAAATATTAAATTACTCTATTTTAATTAAAAAATATTAACAAAAATATTTTTTTTTATTTTTAAATTGTTGATTGAAAATATTACAATGTGTCTCAAAGGACATATATAACAGTGTTCAGAGATCACATTCACACTCTATGTACAAAAAAAAAAAAAAAATTATACAGAAAAATAATATATATTCAACAAATAAGTTTTTTTATTTATTTATTTTTTTTGTTCTTCCCTACCTCGCCTTTAGGCTATACGGGATTTTCCCGGGCCGGAGGGTAAGGGCGAGAAATTTAATATCGCCTCCGACACCGGGACGCGAACTCGTACTTTTTAAATCTTCTGAAATCTGTAATCCGGTTGCCAGGCAACTCGCGGTGCTGTGCACACGTTTTTGCCCATTCGGACACCCCTCCCCCCCTCACCATACAACAAATAAGTACAAAATGACCTAAAAATAAATAAATAAAGAAGAACAAATACATACTTATATACTCTCCGAGAGAACTCCGAGCCAGACTTATCCCCCCAACTGTGAAGGGAAAATCATGACTCCAGGAGATCCGAGCACTTCTCTCTTAACCGCTTCACTGGGGTAAACCCAGTGGAGATTGAGCGAGAGTGCTTTAGCCACATACACTCGTGTCGTTAGTGGAGAATCTGGCCATTACCAGAACTCCAATATTTACAAACTAGAAAAGGTCGCGGGGCCACTGCCGTTTTAACCTTCTTGGAGGATTATAGAGATGGGTGGTCCTCGATAATGATTGTGCAAAGGGATTCGGATGAAAGCCTGTAAGAAGAAAAACTAAAACTTTTCAAGAGATGAAAAAAACTGCGTAATTTTGGTTCTATGAGCATTATATTTCCGATTCAATTTTTTTACAGAATTTTGTATATCTTCTAGGTAATCTGGTGGTGTGTAGATCTAGTTTCTGAGGTTCTTGCGATTTCAAATATTCATTGGTTTGAAAAAATCCACATACAGTGAAAATAGAGTTCTTTTTTCGTCTCGTGTTAAATTTTTCAGTTACTCGAATCAATTTTATTTCCCTCACTATCTGCAATTGAATAGCATTTTCCAGGCAAGCTCATTTTGCTGTTGCCAAGATTTTGATTGTTTTGAAGGTCGTTCAATATTATAATCCAACTTACCGCTCTCTTCTAGTTCTATGTTAAGCAGTGCCGTTCCGGCTTTATGAAAAGGGAACTTATTACAAATTTTAAAAAAGAATACAAAGTGTATGAGAAAAATTAGTTGTAGCCTATTAATAAAGTTAATAATTGCTGTTGCTACAGGAAAAGAAGAAAAAGACTTTCTTTAGTTCCATTAATATTGTTAATTTCTAAAAAGAATATAAAAATGAGTCAATTTATTAGAGACCTATTATCAATTAATTCTGAATCTGGCTTGTCTTTAAGGTACTTGATATAGACACTTCTCAAATCCTTAATTTGATAAATAATTAATTATAAACAGAAGTCCCCCAGTGCTTTCTTAAAATAGCAAATGAATACATTCAATTTATGGTGATAATTATGCTGAAGTCAATCCAATAATAATTTTGACACCGTAATCTATCCGCAAAACGCTTTATGCATTCTATATTTACATGACCACCTTTCATTGGGCATTTCAATACATTTTTCGTTAAAGACACAATCTTTATAACCGTCAATGTAACTTACAGGTTTTTACATCACAATTTTCTGGTATTTAACTTACAGGTTTTTATAGAACACTATAGAGAAGAAATGAAACACTGCAGATTTCATTTTGCGGGATCGGAATATGGGCCAGGACAAAATTGACCAGAAACACTCCAATACCCATTTTCTGAAACTTTGTCCTTACAGGATTTTTCAGTGTTGCTGTTTGTGATATGTGCTGTCTTGTTTAAAAAAATTATCGGTAAAAAATAATACTTGGTCTATACTAAAACATAAGACCAGGCTCTCATCGGATCAGGGTACAGGCACCTAATGTGTCTACTGGTTTAGTTTGATATTGTAGTTCTATGAGATGATAGGGATCCAACCATTGACATTTTTTTTGTTACAAATTTTCTGTTGTGCTTCTATCACTCTCAGGACGTGCTCTGTTCACTTTTTTATTTATTTTTTTTTCGCCTACCCCATACCTCACCATTTCTACCATCCTGAGAGGTTGTTCTAGAAGTAAAGCCAAATCTAACTAAAGTGGGAAGGTCGCAATTCATTTGGTGGGTCCGTCATGAAATTAATTTCAATCCGCCCAGATTGAACTCGAACAGTCACCCCTAGACTTGAGAATGTTACAACGATCATTCGCCTTCGTATGCTCAATCTTCACGGCTTTGCCAGGATGTGTGTCTATCATTCAGTATGTGCCAAGGCAAGAGATTGATTGTCGCAACCCCAATTTTGCATTTTTCTAAAACCTAATAAAAAATCCCGAACCCAAATGCTTCCCTTCTCTTTATGTACTTGACACGATCACATTACATACGGGTTTAATACGAAACTCAGACGACCAAATAAGGGTATTTAGAGCACAAAAATTTAACTTTTCGTTTTTAGATTTGTTCGGAGCATTTGTAGAAAGTTTTTGAATCATTTAGATCATTTCCAAAATAATGATTTATAATAAACAACTTATGACATTTTAAAATAACGGGCCTTGAAATGGTCTCTGGAACAGCATCCCTGATCATACAGTTTAAATACTGTTCTCCCTTGGTTAAGTTATTTATAGTCCGTGGAACTGACCTCTTTATATCAAGCTATTAAAAAATTTCGAAAGCTTCGTAAGTCGCTTCATTTTATCGTAAACTAAAACGTTTTATCATTGGAAATTCTCAGAAATATGCATTAAATTAATTAATTTAATGATTAACTAAAATCTCAAGAATCCATTTGCTGTGCACTTGAATCGTCAGATAATTTGATCACAAAATGTTGGTGTAGCTCGCTTCCAGCGGCCCGATATTTGTGTAGGCCACCTTTTTTCGATTTTGTGGTCACAATTATCTTACGATTCAGGTGAAAATCAAGTAGGTGTTCATGAATTTATGGAACCTCAATGAATTGACGAAGTTTGCCGATCTCTAGATTAAAAACGCCCAATTTCCGATAATTTTCGTAAGTTACGATAAAACGAAACCATTCTCGATGTTTTAAACGTGTGTTAATAATTTGATAAAAAGGATATCCTACCTATATAGTTCAGTTAATAGTCATATCCTACCATGCTGGTGTCTGGATAACTTTTAGCAAACAATTTTAACTGTTATTGAACTTTTGTATACTGTTTTAGGATTTAAAAGTAAGAATTCATTTGTTTTGTTCATTAGAACATCATCTATGAGGATTTGATTCAAGGGTTAAACAAAGAAGTAAAAAAATAAATATCATTCATATATCCATATACAGAAATTAATAGTATGTATATATACTATTAATTTCTCTCTCTCTCTCTCTCTCTATATATATATATATATATATATATATATATATAAACTAATCTATATTTTATTTCTAGGTGAGTACCCATCAATTGTTTCGATACAGGAGAATGGTTTTCATATTTGCGGAGGAAATATAATTAATGAACACACGATATTGACAGCAGCGCATTGCACTATTGATCATGACACCGATCTATGGGAAGTAGGTAACATCGCATCTCGTAGATAAGAAGAATTTGTAGTCTTAAATGAACTCACTGAAGAGCGAACTATATTTTTACTTTCACTTAACTATATATGGAATATATATATATATATTAATGGAAACTATTGCGATCGTGAAAATTTTTGAATCTTCAATGGAAATACATGTTTTGAGATCCCCTGAGTCCAAATAACCACAAAATGGTCTCTGTGTGTGTTAACAGCCTAGATAAAAAACTAAAAGTCGTACGAATGTGAAATTACATATTAAAGGTTTTCATATGCTTGAGATGACAGCAACGGTTCGTCAAAATCGGCTAACCTGAAGTGGCAACAGGGCTTAAATGGCTATTTGCTATATTAGCTTTCCTCTAAAGTACTTTTTTTTTTTATTTGCTATTTTATTGTTAATTTAACAATTGACCATTTCTAATTAATTTCAAATACAAAGGTTAGTTAAATACAAAATATGAAAGAATTTGATAATTAACTAAAGGAGAAATAAGAGTTCATAACGGAGAATAGTGGTAATTGAGGAACTAAAGGAATACTAGCTCATCCGAGTTCTCCCGAAAGATTAGAACACGGTTCCATACGTAACATGATCACAATATAATACGGACTCCGACAATATTCTGTAAATATACCTATACGGTTTTCATAAATGATATTGTCAGTATTATTTAATATTTAATTGTATAGATTACAACGATATAAATATCAAATTTTGTATTTATAACGATATTTAAACAAATAAAAATAGAAGAGAAGAAGAATAAGAAAAAAAGTCTTTTTATTTATCAAAATTACATAATATAAATTACAAAATAATATTTTTGGATTTAAAACCGAAAATCAGACGTGCTGCATGGTCTATTGACCGTCAGAGGATGGTCTGTGTTTTATAACAAAATTATATTTCAATTTATTTATATATAACTAATTAATTACAAAAAGAGTGGTACCATAATTCTCCCAATTTATTAATTGTTAAATTCTCTGGCGAGCATTATTCTATAGGAGAAAGCAGACTTGCAGTAATTTACCAATGCTATCCAATTGTTTTCATTTATTAAATTTATTACTTGATCCTGAGATAAATTTCTAGATTTTAACCATTTAATTCTAAATTCAGAGAGTATCAGACAAGCAGCCAGGAAGTGATAGAGATCTTCTGTTTCGTTTGTATTGCACATGCTACAATTATTATTTGTTTGCTTGAAGTGTTTATAATTTAAGTTCAAAACATCAGCTGTAATCATAATTACCCATCTAATCACCTTCAATAAGCTTTTGTCATCAATATAATTTACTGAAGTTAAAGGAGGGAAAAAGTGAAAGTTTTAGAATTCTGGACTGGAATTGATTTTATATGTTTTTCTGAATTTGAGTTCTTAATAAATATAAATTAGCTCTCCATAGTTTAACATCATCACAGTTAGATCGATTTAAGTTGATATTTAGTCCATGCAGTTCTATCAGATTAAATAAGTCCCTAAACCATGCAATTTCTTTTTAATTATCTGTAGTGCTAATATTTTTGGATATCTATGTGGTAGAAGATTCAAAATTTTTATAATGTAATCAAAATGGAGTTTAATTGTGAAGATAAATAACAGATCTTTAGTCTCAAAGTGAATAAATTGTGCTGGAGTATACTTTGGTAATTTAAATATTTTTTTAAGAAATAATCTTAGTAGTCTTCCCACGGCTCCATAACTTACCCCGCCCCAGACTTGTGATCCATAGCACATCACTGCCCTACTAACGGAATTAAATACTTTCAACTTTTTGGATATAGAGTTATATCTTTGTTTAACATAACTTGGCACCAAATCAAATCCACACCCACCTTAGTTTTTCCAGTTTTTCTGTCAGGTGTTTGGACATTGAGGGAGTAGGCGTGAGAACCATTCCTGAATATTTGTACTGTTGTACTACGTCTATACTTTTGGAGCCAATGAACCATTTTTTTTTTTACGTGATGGCTTACCGCCATCGCGAAAGACCATTATTTTAGATTTTTCGAGATTTATTCTTAGAATCCATTTTTGACAGTATTCGTTAATGTGAATATGTTATCGATTGTTGAATATTTTTTTCTAACACCAGCCTGAGCTTCTTCATTATATATTTTTCGTCAATCCAGTCCAGACTTCTAGCCAAAATCAAGCCCGTATATAATTCGGCAATTGCATTAATAAAGGAGATTCCCCTGTAATTAGAAGCCAAATTTGTTTCCCCTTTTTTATATAATGGGAAAATAATGGATTTTTTAAATGTTAAAGGGACATATCCTGATTCAAAAATTCCATTAAATGTAGCCAATAAAATGATTAAAAAAGAATTGGGAGCATACTTGTAAAATTCATAAGGGATCCTATCACTTCTTGGTGCCCTGTCATTTTTGGAATTACCCAAAACCGCTTTCAACTCACCAAGAGAGAAGGTTCTATCTAAAATAGCATTAGTAATATTTGGTTCAACGTATAAAATTCTGTTTGAAATTAACGGTGGGTAGTACAGAGTTTTAAAGTGCATAAGCCAATCTTGTAATCATATATTACCTACAGACCAGTAATTACTTTTTCTAAATACTTTTACAAGTTCCCAAAACTCTTTACGGTTATTAACCTTATTCAGTCGCTGGGCACAATCTATGTAATATTGCTTCTTTTTTAATAAACATAGACTTTTATAATTACTACTTGAATTTAAATACTGTAATTTATTGTAAGGGGACGAAGTTTTTCTGAATAACTTTAAACTTATAAATGACATCTTTCTAGCCTGGAAACACTCCTTATCAAACCATGGATTTTTAGTTTTATATACTGACCTAGCATAAGGATTATAATTAGCAGACCTCTTGATATCATGTGAGAGAATGTCTATCAAATCTTCCACCGAATGCTTATTTACAGATAAACGGTTAACTAAACCATCCACCCTAGAATGGTAAACTATCTCATTTGGTTTCAACCAATTAATTTTTGGGAGAAGTGGTAAAGTAGACTGTTCATGTTTACAATAGCTTAGTCTAGAACAGAATTTCCCGAGGCTCCAAAACATGTATATTCTCCTTTTATATCATTTTTCATACGGCCATTTAATATAATCAAATTAAAATCGTTACAGAGCTCTAATAATTGTTTACCATTTATATTTAAACAATATTCTCTTGAATTCCTACGGCAACATTCAATATTTTATCAATTTATAGATTTATAAAAATATATATATTTTTTCGACAATACTTGTTGACTTGACACTCTACAATTAAAATCTTCGATTAAACAAACATTTAAATTAAGTACCTCAGAGAGGAATTTATATAAACTATTGTAATCCGTCTCCAGCTATAACAGTTTAAATAAACAGGCATAGTATAAACTTCATAGTTATCTAAACTTAACATGACTAAATGTTTATTCGAGATTTCACAAAATTTCATATATTTTTTAAAAGGACTTTTTAAATTCACCCCATTTAAACTACCGCCTGAGGCTCTACCATATGCAGCATTTCTTATAGCCGTCACCCATATTGTATAAAAATCATTAAATAGATGTTCATACTTTAACTGATCCTTATTCTCAACAAAAGTCTCGAATAAACATATTACATCAAATTTATTAATATATTGAAAAAGAATTAAATCATCCTTTTTACTTTTTGAGCCACAAATATTATAGGCTAAAATTTCCACCGATTGTTCTTCTTTCTGTAATTGTGAGGTATTTTCAAAACGATTCCTTGAACTGGACGAAACGTTTTCCTTAGATGCATCCTGAGTTATAAAACCATTTTATCTTGATCGGATTGTTATCAGTGAGATGTTCTGGGGCAAAAACGAAATGACTGTAGTTTGTCTTTGGCTTTTCATTTACCAGCATTTTCATCATCCGACGGTAAATTTTTCATCAGTACATTTTTGAAAATCTGGTGGGCTTAAAATGGAATGCAATTCATCAAGAGAATATAGGGTCCCTCTAAATTTGATTTTTATTTATTTTAATAATAACAGATTTGTCATCTATTTTTTGTACTTTTTTTTAAAGTTTCATACAAATCATTTTTTCTCTTTCTGTCTAAGAATGTTCGATCATGAGCTATAGAACAATTAATTTCACTGAGCTTATCCTTCTTTTCAAACAAATTCATTTTGTCCCAATGGCTAACAAATGAAATTAAAATTGGTCTAGGGGCCTGACCTCTCCCTTGTCTCCGGCAATATAAAATATCCTTGACAGATAAGTGGGTCTCAGTTCTATTGAATAAAGTTTTTAATGTATCATAGACATCTTCAAGCTCTTCTCTTTGAGGCTCAGGAACTCTATATACGATTGTATTATTTTTAATTAGTTCTCGTCTCAGATTATTTATTGCTTCCTCCTGTATCTCTACTTTCTTTTCTAGTAAGGCCTGTTTAACTTTACCAGCTTGAAGTTCCTCAATTAATTGGGATATTGCTAGTTTTATTTGACCGAGATCGTTTCTAATGGCTTCAGTGTTTTTTGAGTTTATTTTTATTTCAGTCATAATGTACTCTGGCGTTATAGAAGGGGTCATTTTATTATAAATTATATTGTTCCGAATGTTTTATGTTAATGAGAGTTGCTCATCAGCTGATGACTGATGACTGATGGTGAAGGGGATGTCACACCGGCTATGATATCTGATTTATACAGGTTACAGCATATACGCCCCCACTATTACTTATCTACCTGCTGCTTGTAACAGTTATCTGGAATAAGGAATCTCGATGAAAGTATTTTCACCTTATTTTTCCGCAGCCACTTCACAGATTATCACCCAATTAAAATATAGTGATCCTTAATAGGTATGGTAACCACTAGTCACAACGTGTTTCAATTTTTTTCACTTTAAAGTCATAAACTCGAAAACTATTACGGATCCGAACTGCACCGGTTCAAGGCCAGAGCCTCCTACAACTCCTACAAATAAAAATACCAACAATGAAATAGAAATAAATACAGCG